CTTGGAGAAGTCCCCGATGAGGTCCTGGTCATCGTTGTCCAGCGGGCTCTCGATCTCCGCACGCTGGGCAGACCTGCAACGCTGCAGCCCCTCTTCCTGTGCGGGTACAAAGCAGAGAGCGCCCGACGTGAGCAGGGGCTCCAGCAGAGCCGGGCCACGGCCCAGTCCCACCGGGGACAGGCTGGATCTCCCCCCGGGGCTTCCCCGTCACCCACCGGCTCCAGCGACGCCTCCTGGCAGGGGCTGCCGGTCCCCGTCCTGGGCTTCTTGGCCTTGACAGGGGTGTCCTCATCGCAGGGGTGTGCCCGCTTCAGGTTGGGCCTGATGGCCCTGCTGGTCCCCGAGGGCGAGCAGAAGAGCTGCCGGCACCTGCTGCGCTTCCCCGGACGCTGCGGGGAGAGCCCGTGTGGCTGCCCGGGGGCCCGGCAAGCCCCCAGCACCAGGAGGGCAGGGGACGAGGCCCCACCTGGAGAACCCTGAGGCTGCAGCCTGGGGCTCTGTCCAAGCCCCAAGGCTCTTCCTCAACTTACCAGCTCTGCCTCCTCCTTCCTCGTCATCCTCGAGGTCAGCACGTTCTCAGCGGTGCCCCGGGGCACGGTGGCATCACTCTGCCAGGGCGGCTGCCGGGGGCACGGGGGAGAGCAGAGGAGATGGTGAGGGGAAAAAGTGCCTCTGGCTGCTTGCCAGCCCCGGGCAGCGAGGGATCCCCTGCCCAAGGTCCCTCCATCTCCACAGGCACAGGCCATGGCCCCACAGCTCGGCAGTGGGGCCAGCCCCATGCGTGCTCGATTTGGAGAGAGGGTGTGGCCGTGCCCCCCCCAGCGCCTTCCTCTGCAACATCCACAGGTGTCCAGGGCAGGCGGGGAGGTTGGAGCAGCAGCTGCCACGTCCAGCCCCAGGATCCCCCAGCCCCGGGTCCCTCCCGAGCCCCCCAGCCCCTCTCACCAGCAGGCTGGAAGTGGAGCAGGGTCTTGTGGCCAGGGGGTCCCTCCTGGCAGCCCCATGGCCGGCGGCCAGCCGGCTCTGCTGGTCCAGCCTCGGCAGCTTCTTGGGGATAAAGTCCTCCTGCGGTGCGGGGCCACAACGTTAGCGCCCCTCTGCCCCTGCCCTGCCCTCCCCAGGCCTCGCCTCGCTGCCCCCCTCACCTCATCCTCGGGCTCCCTGCTGGCCTTCCGCACTCGGCCCCTGCGGACGTTGAACTCCCCGGAGCGGGAGATGTCCTTCAGGATCGGGCTGGCTTCCACAGCACACGGCTGTGGGACAGAGGAGGGCTGAGAGGTGCTGCACAGCCCCCCTCACCCCTCTCCTGGCTCCATCCTGCTCCTCCCAGCTGGGCCAGGCACAGAACAGGATCCGGCCACCCTGTGCTCAGCCCTGCAGAGCCTCCAGGAGTTACTTACCGGCAAGGAGCGAATCCTCCGCAGGTGGAGCTTTGGGCTGCAAGAGCAGGCAAAGGAAAGGGTTCACACGAGAGCAGGTGTCCTGGGCCGGCAGTGTGCCACCCCTCTGCCGTGGAGCCCTGTGTCCCCCAGCTCCTCCCAGTGCGGTGAGACCTGCCCAGGGCTGTGCCAGCTCCCCAAAGGGATCCTGGGGCAAAACCACCTCCGGGCACTGAGCAAACACCGGTGGAGTGACCGGGACCCCAGGAGGGGAAGGCGGAGAGCCTTTTGGGGTTTTGGGTCCGGCACAGGGACAGGCTGGGCACAGGGACAGCTTGGCTTTTGCGACTGGGACAGGGACAGAGCGCCTTCCCTTACCCTTGGAGGAGTCTGCTGCAACTCAGGATCATTTTCTCGAAGCTGTGGGCAGAGGAGAGCTGGGCTTAGGGGCGTGGTACCCCATGTCCCAGCCCAAGCAGTCCGGCTTCTCACCCCCCCCCCCGAAAGAGACTGGGGGGGATGGTGAGGGGGGGGGTCACAGCTGGATGCTCAGCTCCCCAGCAAGGCTGAGCCCGGGCGCTGGTGCCCGTGGGAGGCAGGGGAGGGCGAGGGGTTGTCGGCGGGGGCACCGTGGGGCTGGGGCACTCACGCTTCCTCCGCCGCCGCGAGGTCGTGCTGTGTGGGGGAGTCCAGCCCCAGTCCTGCGGGAAGAAGGGGCGGGAGTAGCCCCGGGGTGTGGATCGGGCTCCTGCCCCCATCCCAGGGCCCGCGGCAGGACCCGGCCGGGCAGGGAGCCCCCACATGCCGGCTGTGCTGCCCTCTGCTCCAGCCAGCGCCGGAGGAACCAGGGCCAGGGGCAACGGCTGTGCCCTCACGGGGGTCCCTGAACCCGCCCCCCAGGATCCCGAGGCGGGTGGCACCGGTCGCGCATGGAATGTCCCGTGTCCTCCTGCGCAGGGAGCCCAGCGGGCTGGTCCGTTGCTGAGCCCCAGGGAGCAGAGCTGGCGGCTCTTGTCCATCCTCCCCCAGCAGCCCTCGCCTCAATCTCTCTCGGCAGTCACTCGGCCAAGCCCTCCCTGCCCGTGCGGGGACCCCCTGACACTCCCCGCAACCCCCTGTGCACGACCCCCGGCTCGGGGGGCGGTTGGGGGCGGTTGTGGGGGCGCAGCATCTCCATCACTCACCGGCATCCGAGGGCTGGGAGCAGACGGAGTCCCGGGCACGGGGCGAGGCCACCGGCTCCGGGGACAGGGTGGGCGAGAGCCACGGCGGGGGCAGCCCCTCGCCCCGCCGCTTCGGGGTGTCCCAGAGCCTGCGGAAGGCCGGGAGGGGAAGGGTCAGTGCCCCGGCGTGCGGGTCGGCCCTTCCCCGGGGGAGTGAAGGGAGCGGGGCTTTCGAGATCCTCCAAGCGGCCCCTCGCAAGCCCCGCAGCGCGCCCCAGCCCCTCACCTGCCCGGCTCCGCAGGGTGTCCCGCGTCCAGCGGCAGCGGGGGCAGCGGGGACACCCCCGGGGAGGTGCCCGCCAGCCCGGGCAGCCCGCGGCCGCCGCACAGCGCCATGGCCGGGGAGGGAGCGAGCGAGCGAGCGAGCGAGCGAGTGTCGGTGTCCGGCGGCGCCTCGCCGGCAGCGGAGCGCGGTCTGGTCGGGCTGTGCCGGGGCTGCGGCCGGTCCGGGGCCGGCAGCGGACAGGGACAGGGGACAGTGACAGGTGACGGGGGCAGGGGAGAGTGACAGGTGACAGGGACAGACGAGAGCTGTCAGCGGCAGGTGACACGCTGGGCTCACACTCGGCTCACACTCCGGTCACGCCCGTTTCGCTCCCGGTTCGCTCCCGTTTGGCACAACAACGAAACAACAACAACGCTCCAACAACAGCGGGGAGGCCGCAGCCAATGAGAGGCGGGCTCGGGGCTTGTGGGCGTGGCCTCGGCGGCAGGGGCGGAGCCACAACAGAAAGGAGGCGTGTCCGGTGCGGAGGGGGCGGGGCCGCGGCGCGGGCCTCGAAGGAGGCGCTGGAGGGGCCGGGCCGGGCCGGGCCGGAGCTGAGAGGGGGTGCCGCGGCTGCCTCTGGGGTTCTGCTCAAAGCGGTCTGACTCGTCGTGCCCCAAGTTCAACATGCGGAGAGTGAGTGGAAGATGTGGCAGATGTGGTAAAGTATCCGTATCTACAAACGCTGAGGTGACACCGTGTGATGGTTCGGACCTGGCTCCCTGCCAAATGCCCGAACTCAGAGTAACAACCCCTTCCCCCTCTCTTCTTTCCTTAGGGCGAAGGAAAAAAAACCATAAAAAACTGAAGAACCGCTAGTTACACCAAAATATCTATTTTGCGTATATTACAGTTATATGCAATTAGAAAGCTGTGTATGTACACAGCGAAGGGAATCCAAACACCCCCCCGAAGGGAAAGGGGGAAAAAGGGACAGAAAGGGCCACAGAACAGATATACGCAATCGAACCCAAGAACTTGCAAAAGAAAGAACTAGCGAAACGAATCTCCCCACGTCCCTCAGAAAAGCAAGATCACCAGACACGGCCAGCACTCTCCGATCTCCGCGTGGCAGACGAGCGGTCGCTGCAGGCCTCGGCCTCTGGATAAGCGAGAGCAACGCGAGGACCCACTGCTCCTGGACCTCAGCGGGAGAGACGAGAAGCAAGGCCTCTCCTCCCTTCTTATTTATACCCTGATTTACGCAAAAATTGGATGGGGTACTGGGAGCATGGCCACTTCCTTGGCTACAGATTGGTCAGCAAGGAAGGCCTAGATTAAAACTACCACACACAGCTGGCCTGGAGACATCCGACTGACAGTCAAGCCCTTTGAACTCCAAAAGTCCAGTCCCACTTTCAAGCAGCAGGTTCTTCTTCCCGCCTTGGGTGGTCAGCGCTCGAGGCCGAGAGAAAACGATTTGCCTCCAGTCGTTGTTGTGGGTGAGTGACATCCATCTCTACCTAACAATGGTTTGGTTTCTTTTTTTGCCAGCTGGAATAGAGTTGCTTTCCTAGAATTGCTTTGGTACAGTACACTGCACTATCCTAGCAGTTTTAGCTTCTGTAGTGGGTAGTCAATAATGCTGCTTAAGACTTTTTGCCCAATCATTTGTCCTGAGAAATTAGTAATCTTTCTGTAAATGCGTCCGTTTTGCCATCCTGAATCCTGCGGGACAAAGCTGTGCAAAGGCTCGGTCACACCTCCCCAGTTCCGTAGGTTTAAACTGTTGAGGAATTCTGGGACTAAGAGAGGATCCCCTGGCCCTCAGGCTCCTCTCCGAGAGGGAGTTTAGAAAGCCCGGGCAAGCCTATGAAGTGTCAGGGCTGATCAAGAGGGCTTTAAAGTAGGTTTGAAGGGGGAGGGGGATGCAAGCAGGCTCTCCGGAGCTGAGCCTACGGGTGGTAAGCCAGAGTGAGGGGTGAAATCAGCAGCCCAGCTGAAGTGCATGTAGACCAGTGCACGCAGTGTGGGTGGGCAAGAATAGGAGCTGGAGGGCATCGTGGGGCAGGAAAGCTGCGCCGTGGCTGCCATGGCAGAAAGGGGGTGGGAAGACTGGGATGCGCGGAGTGGTGCCATGGGCGAGTCCGTGCTCCACAGAAGAGACAGGCGAGGTAGGAGAGGTGGAGAGGTGGCTCTGGAGGTTAGAGAGTGTCTGGACTGTGCAGAACTTGCAGTCAGTGCCGATGGGTGAGAATGAGGGGGAGGCCAAGAAGGCCAAGCTCCAGGTGGCAGTCTGTTGCAGAGCACCCGTTTGGGGTGAAGAGGGCGATGAATTGTTCTGCAAGCAGCTGGGGGATGTTCCAAGGTGGCCAGGCCTTGTTGCTGTGGGAGACTTGAAGCTGCTGGATGTCTGCTGGGAAGGCAGCACAGGGGAGAAGAGGCAGCGTGGGAGCTTCTTGGAGTGTGTGGAGGAGAGGTTCTTGTCGCGGCTGGTGAGTGAGCCTGCCGGGGTGAGGCCGTGCTGGACCTGCTGTGTGCAAGCCCTGAGGGGCTGGTGTGAGATGTGGTGGTTGGGGGCCACGTGGGGCAGAGGGACCAGGAAAGGATGGGGTTTTCAATAGTGGGTGAAAGAAGGTGGGCTATCACCAAATTCCCTCTCTGCACGCCGGAGGGCAGACCTGAGCCTAGTGGGGGGGCTGGTTCAGAGAGTGCCTTGGGAAACAGCCCTTAAAAACAAAGGGGTCTAGGAAGGATGGACACACTCTGAGGAGGAAATCTTGAAGGCGCAGGAGCAGGCTGTCCCTGTGTGCCGAAAGGTGAGCCGGGGCGGAAGAAAACGGGCCTGTCTGGGCAAGGAGCTTTTGCAAGAACTTAGGGAAAAAAAGAGTTTCTCAGCGTTGGAGAAAAGGACAGGCAGCTCTCGCGGTGTTTAAGGCAGTCGTTAGGTCATGCAGAAGGAAATCAGAGAGGCAAAAGCACAATTTGAACTTCAGCTGGCCACTTCTGTAAAGGATAATAAGAAGTATTTTCATAACTACATGGATAGCAAAGGGAAGGCAAGGAAAGCCTCCATTCTTTGCTGGGCACGGGGAGAAGGCAGTAAGCAAAGATGAGGAAAAGGCTGAGGGTCGGGGAGCCGAATAGCCCCCGTGTTATCCAGGAGGAAGCAGTGAGTGACCTGCTGAGGCACTTGGATCCTGACAAGTCTGCGGGACTGGATGGGATCCACCCTGGGGCGATGAGGGAGCTGGTGGAAGAGCTCGCCAAGCCGCTCTCCATCATTTCTCAACGGTCCTGGCTCATCAGGGAGGTCCAGGGTGACTGGAGGTTGGTCAACGTGATGCCCATCCATAAGAAGGGCCGGGAGGAAGATCCAGGTCAGGCTGACCGCAGTGTTGTGGAAGAGATCATCTTGAGTGGGATCACACAGCACCTCCAGGATCTCAGAGGTCTTTTCCAGGCTAATTGATTCTGTGATTGTGTGATTCTGTGAAATCAGCAGTAAAGGACAATAATTTGATCAGCAGGGGAGGATGCATTTGCTGGTGTGAGGAAGGTGTTTGTTCCTGGGGCCCTTTCTGAGTGCAGGTTGTGTGAACGAGCTCCTCGTGGTGTTATAATGTCCATGGTAAGCAAATTAGACACTGGGATCAATCTGAGCGCTGGCATTTGCATACTTGGCTTGGCAGCTCTGACGCTGCCACAGCTCTGCTGCGCTGGGGACGTCAGGAGTGCCGCAGGAGGGGACAGATCCGTGCCCTGTGCCGGCCTGATTCTGCCCCCAACCTGGGCAGGAGTTGATCCCGAGGCCGTTGGCAGCACGGCACGGAGCAGGATGGGGGGCCGTGGGCTGCGGAGGGATTTTGGGCAGTGATGGATTTTCTTGTGGGGCACAAACCAAAGCAAAGGTGAGGGCCAACACCAATAACCAGGGTACCATCAGCTGGATGGGGAAGAGCTTTCCAGATGTTGGCTGGAAGAGTCCCCTTGGGCATTTTGGAGTGACGTGGGCTCACCGGGAAGCTGGGGAAGTGGGTGGAGGACAGGCAGCCCAGGGATGAGCGGAGGCCACTTGAGCGGGAGCGAGGCGGGGACCATTGCGTTAAGGGCTCAAACCCAGAAAGGTGCCAAGGCCCTCGGTGTCCCACCAAGCCCTGTCCCAAGAAAAAGGGGTTATCAAAGCCCCGGGGGTCCTGCAAAGGCCTGGAGACCCCCTCCAGTGAAGCGTGTGATGGCCGTGAGGGTGGAAGAGAGAGGGATGAGGTATCAGAGCCCGTGGGGTCCTGATGAGTCCATCCCCCATCAAGAGGGCTGTCGTTGTCCTGGGGGTGCCATGGAGGGGTGGTGTCAGCACGCCAGGGGGTCTCAGAGATCGTGGTCCCCAGTGTCCTGCAGAGCCCTGACCACCCCCAAAGTGGCTGTGACCATTCTTGGGGTCCTACTGAGCCCAGGCGCCGCTCAGGAATACACCTGAATGTTCTGACCATGGGAGGTCCTGCAACGTTCAGGAGATCACCCTCAGAACAGAGAGTGCCACGGCTGTGGAGGTGCCCTGGAGGTCTCCGGGAGAGGGACTGGATGTCACCCACCACGCCGGCGGTCCCAGGAATCCTGCTGAGCCTGGCACGCCCTGGAAAGGGGCTGCCATGGAAGGGCAGCCATCACCCCCGGGCTGTCCCCTGTCAGCTGCGTTCCCTGTCCCCAAGACCCCAGACACCTCCCACCTCCTGAAAATTCCCCCCTTCCCCGCACTCTTCGAGTTCCCAGATGAGGGGGCACCCACCCCTGCACCCCCCTGGTGTGCTGGGGCAGTCAGAGCTCAGGACACAGGTTTGTTCTCCCTCCAATAGGAGTTTATTAGCAGACACTGTACAAGAACAATAAATAAGCAATAAATAAGACACAGAAAAAATCCAAACAATACACAGGACACAAACCCCATCACAGCTATAAGTGAGACACTAAACTTTCACATTAAAAAAACCCAGCTGGCTTTGAAGCCAGTTGTGCTGCTGGTCAGTACTACCCATTTCCCTGGAGGTGTCTTTTGGACAGTCATAGCGTCTCTGAAGCAAATGGAGAAACACGGATTCAAATGTTCAAGTGTGTGTTGGGGCCTCAGCTGTGTAGTTGAAATATGGACCTCAAAAGTTATCAAGACTTTTTTTTAGGAAACCCAAATTGATTACAATATAAATACTACGGGGAGTGGAGATAATTTCTTGGAAGCGTGCGTAGGGGGAAGTCAAAGGTCAGGAGAGCAGGTTTATTCTCCCTCCAACTGGAGTTCCTTAACAGAGACTACGAAGAAGCAACCTTAACAATGAACAAGGAACATCTTGACAGTAAGCAACACAATAACCCAATCCTAACAAGAAAGAAGGCAGGAACCCCCAATCGTAACAAATACTTAAGACATGAAACTACTCCTATCGATAACCACTACATTAAACCAGTCCTAACAATAACCACTACATGAAACTGCTCCTACCAATAACCAAGACAGAAAACCAATCCTAAGACTAACCAAGAGATGAAACCAATCCTAAGACTAACCAAGAGATGAAACCAATCCTAACACTAACCAAGACAGTACCCACCCCCCCCCCAACAATAATCAAGACATGAAACGAGTCCTAACCAAGCAGGCCAAGCCAAGGCACATTGCCCGGCCAAGGGAAGCCCTGGCAGTCGGCAGGTCGCCCATTGCCCACGGAGGGGCTGCGGGCCCCCGAGCGCTCAGCGGGGCAGGCGGCGGCTGCAGAAGTCCCGCCGGCTGCGCTCTGCCGCCCGGGGCCGGCTCTGGCAGCGGAACTGGCGCAGCTCCTCCTGGAAGGCGCCGTGCTCCATGGGCCGATAGTCCTGCGGTTCGCAGAGTGCCTGGGAAGCCAGGGCCCTGTCAGCGAGCGCAGCGCAGCCCCCGGTCCCCAGCCAGCCCGGGGCAAAGCCAGCGCCGCCGGCCCCCCGGCCCTGGAGATCCTCCCCCCTGCCGGAGGATGCTCGGAGCCGCAGCTCCCCCTCCCCGCTGGGCCGGGCAGGGGTTCCAGGGGGTTCCCCCCTCACCTCCCCAGGCCTCGCCCTGCTGACAGGGACGCCCTCCCGCCGAGGGGACGCAGTGGGGGCACTCACCGGGTACCGCAGGAAGAAGTCCCGGTAGCCGCCCTTCAGGACATAGAGCTCGGGGTAGTGGAGCTGGGGGTACTCGTGACAGGAGCGATCCTTCTCCCTGAGGAAGCGGCACCTGGGGCACAGGGAAAGGCCACGGCATGATCGCCGTGCCGGGATGCGGGCGTGCCTGGGGGGCTGGCAGAGCCCAGTGTGCCCCGCCGTTGCCCCACTCACATTTTGGGCCCGCGGTGAGCGGAGAACTCGCAGTGGAAGATGACGATCACCCTCTTGCTGGGGTGCAGGGGCAGGATGGGCTGCTCCAGCAGGAATCGCTCCACATCGCGCTGCAGGGGCAGGTTGACAGCACCCTGGGGAGGGACAGGAGGCACCTTTTTCCCCCTCTGCCTCCCATTTCATCGGCAGGAAGACCGGGACACTGCCCCCAGTCTCCCTCCACTACCACCATCCCCCAGCCTACTTGGGCACCATCCCCCTCCTCCTTCCAGTTGGGGATCAACCCCTCCGCGTGGGCTTGGCCTCTGGGGAACGCCGGTGACCCTTGGGGGGGGCTCTTTAGCCCCTCTGGGGCGGTCTCAGCACCTCCTGGGGGGACTGCTCGACCTTAAGTGGGGGTGTCAGCATCTCCGAGGTTCGGTGGGTTTCAGACAGCCCCCTTCCTCCCAGCCCCAGAGGGCACAGGAGCCCTTCTGACCTTGATGTGGCCCCCCTCGTACTCGTAGGGGTAGCGACAGTCCACGAGGATGCTGCTCTCGAGGAAGCTGCTCCACTGCCCCGTCAGCACCGCCACCAGCTGCGGGGGGAGCCCGTCACCAAGGGGGAACGCCTGGGGGGCGGTGGGGGAGCAGGCAGGGAGCCTCACGGCGGGGCTGGGCAGAGGCTGCTGCCCCCTTACCGTGTCAGGGGAGATGTACTTCAGGCCGGGGTCCTTCCCCTCCACCGTCGGCAGGAGGTGAGCCTGGAGGAGACCATGGGCTCTGGGGGTCCTGTGCATCCCAGGGACACCTCCCAGAGGGTGCCACCTGTTCCCCCAGCCCAGAACCACGCCCAGCTGCCAGCTGTGTTTACCCAGGGGAGGGGATGGCGGTCCCTGTTTCAGGTTAAGGGGGGCAGCACCCCCAGAGCTTCCCGATCCTCGTGGCCCTACCTTGGAGAAGTCCCCGATGAGGTCCTGGTCATCGTTGTCCAGCGGGCTCTCGATCTCCGCACGCTGGGCAGACCTGCAACGCTGCAGCCCCTCTTCCTGTGCGGGTACAAAGCAGAGAGCGCCCGACGTGAGCAGGGGCTCCAGCAGAGCCGGGCCACGGCCCAGTCCCACCGGGGACAGGCTGGATCTCCCCCCGGGGCTTCCCCGTCACCCACCGGCTCCAGCGACGCCTCCTGGCAGGGGCTGCCGGTCCCCGTCCTGGGCTTCTTGGCCTTGACAGGGGTGTCCTCATCGCAGGGGTGTGCCCGCTTCAGGTTGGGCCTGATGGCCCTGCTGGTCCCCGAGGGCGAGGCGGGCAGAAGAGCTGCCGGCACTGCCGGCGCTTCCCCGGACGCCAGTGGGGAGAGCCGTGTGGCTGCCCGGGGGCCCGGCAAGCCCCCAGCACCAGGAGGGCAGGGGACGAGGCCCCACCTGAGGCTGCAGCCTGGGGCTCTGTCCAAGCCCCAAGGCTCTTCCTCAACTTACCAGCTCTGCCTCCTCCTTCCTCGTCATCCTCGAGGTCAGCACGTTCTCAGCGGTGCCCCGGGGCACGGTGGCATCACTCTGCCAGGGCGGCTGCCGGGGGCACGGGGGAAAGCAGAGGAGATGGTGAGGGGAAAAAGTGCCTCTGGCTGCTTGCCAGCCCCGGGCAGCGAGGGATCCCCTGCCCAAGGTCCCTCCATCTCCACAGGCACAGGCCATGGCCCCACAGCTCGGCAGTGGGGCCAGCCCCATGCGTGCTCGATTTGGAGAGAGGGTGTGCCGTGCCCCCCCAGCGCCTTCCTCTGCAACATCCACAGGTGTCCAGGGCAGGCGGGGAGGTTGGAGCAGCAGCTGCCACGTCCAGCCCCCAGGATCCCCAGCCCCGGGTCCTCCCTGAGCCTCCCCAGCCCCTCTCACCAGCAGGCTGGAAGTGGAGCAGGGTCTTGTGGCCAGGGGGTCCCTCCTGGCAGCCCCACTGAAGCCGGCGGCCAGCCGGCTCTGCTGGTCCAGCCTCGGCAGCTTCTTGGGGATAAAGTCCTCTGCGGTGCGGGCCACAACGTTAGCGCCCCTCTGCCCCTGCCCTGCCCTCCCCAGGCCTCGCCTCGCTGCCCCCCTCACCTCATCCTCGGGCTCCCTGCTGGCCTTCCGCACTCGGCCCCTGCGGACGTTGAACTCCCCGGAGCGGGAGATGTCCTTCAGATCGGGCTGGCTTCCACAGCACACGGCTGTGGACAGAGGAGGGCTGAGAGTGCTGCACAGCCCCCTCACCCCTCTCTGGCTCCATCCTGCTCCTCCCAGCTGGGCCAGGCACAGAACAGGATCCGCCACCCTGTGCTCAGCCCTGCAGAGCCTCCAGGAGCTACTTACTGGCAAGGAGCGAATCCTCCGCAGGTGGAGCTTTGGGCTGCAAGAGCAGGCAAAGGAAAGGGTTCACACGAGAGCAGGTGTCCTGGGCCGGCAGTGTGCCACCCCTCTGCCGTGGCGCCCTGTGTCCCCCAGCTCCTCCCAGTGCGGTGAGACCTGCCCAGGGCTGTGCCAGCTCCCCAAAGGATCCTGGGGCAAACCACCTCCGGCACTGAGCAAACACCGGTGGAGTGACCGGGACCCCAGGAGAGGGAAGGCGGAGAGCCCTTGGGGTTTTGGGTCCGGCACAGGGACAGGCTGGGCACAGGGACAGCTTGGCTTTTGCGACTGGGACAGGGACAGAGCGCCTTCCCTTACCCTTGGAGGAGTCTGCTGCAACTCAGGATCATTTTCTCGAAGCTGTGGGCAGAGGAGAGCTGGGCTTAGGGGCGTGGTACCCATGTCCCAGCCCAAGCAGGTGGCTACTTCCCCCCGCCCCGAAAGAGACTGGGGGAAGGTGAGGGGGTCAGAGCTGGCTCAGCCCTCCCAGCAAGGCTGAGCCCGGGCGCTGGGTGCCCGTGGAGGCAGGGGAGGGCGAGGGGTTGCTCGGCGGGGGCACCGTGGGCTGGCACTCACGCCCTCCGCTGCCAGAGGTCGTGCTGTGTGTGGAGTCCAGCCCCAGTCCTGCGGGAAGAAGGGGCGGGAGTAGCCCGTGTGGATCGGGCTCCTGCCCCCATCCCAGGCCCGCGGCAGGACCCGGCCGGGCAGGAGCCCCCACATGCCGGCTGTGCTGCCCTCTGGGCTCCAGCCAGCGCCGGAGGAACCAGGGCCAGGGGCAACGGCTGTGCCCTCACGGGGTCCCTGAACCCGCCCCCAGGATCCTGAGGCGGGTGGCACCGGTCGCGCATGGAATGTCCCGTGTCCTCCTGCGCAGGGAGCCCAGCGGGCTGGTCCGTTGCTGAGCCCCAGGGAGCAGAGCTGGCGGCTCTTGTCCATCCTCCCCCAGCAGCCCTCGCCTCAATCTCTCTCGGCAGTCACTCGGCCAAGCCCTCCCTGCCCGTGCGGGGACCCCTGACACTCCCGCAACCCCCAGTGCACGACCCCGGCTCGGGGGCGGTTGGGGGCGGTTGTGGGGGCGCAGGCATCTCCATCACTCACCGGCATCCGAGGGCTGGGACGGACGGAGTCCGGGCACGGGGGCGAGGCCACCGGCTCCGGGGACAGGGTGGGCGAGAGCCACGGCGGGGGCAGCCCTCGCCCCGCCGCTTCGGGGTGTCCCAGAGCCTGCGGAAGGCCGGGAGGGAAGGGTCACGTGCCCCGGCGTGCGGGTCGGCCCTTCCCCGGGGAGTGAAGGGAGCGGGGCATTCGAGATCCTCCAAGCGGCCCTCGCAAGCTCCCGCAGCGCGCCCCCAGCCCCTCACCTGCCCGGCTCCGCAGGGTGTCCTGCGTCCAGCGGCAGCGGGGGCAGCGGGGGACACCTCGGGGAGGTGCCCGCCAGCCTGGCAGCCCGCGGCCGCCGCACAGCGCATGGCCGGGGAGGGAGCGAGCGAGCGAGCGAGCGAGCGAGTGTCGGTGTCCGGCGCAGCGCCTCGCCGGCAGCGGAGCGCGGTCTGTCGGGCTGTGCCGGGCTGCGGCCGGTCCGGGGGCCGGCAGCGGACAGGGACAGGGGACAGTGACAGGTGACGGGGGCAGGGGAGAGTGACAGGTGACAGGGACAGACGAGAGCTGTCAGCGGCAGGTGACACGCTGGGCTCACACTCGGCTCACACTCCGGTCACGCCTGCTTCGCTCCCGGTTCGCTCCCGTTTAGCGCAACAACGAAACAACAACAACGCTCCAACAACAGCGGGGAGGCCGCAGCCAACGAGAGGCGGGCTCTGGGGCTAGTGCGGCTTCGGCGGGCAGGGGCGAGCCACAGCAGAAAGGAGGCGTGTCCGGTGCGAGGGGCGGGGCAGCGGCGCGGGCCTCGAAGGAGGCGCTGGAGGGGCCGGGCCGGGCCGGAGCTGAGAGGGGGTGCCGCGGCTGCCTCTGGGGTTCTGCTCAAAGCGGTCTGACTCGTCGTGCCCCAAGTTCAACATGCGGAGAGTGAGTGGAAGATGTGGCAGATGTGGTAAAGTATCCGTATCTACAAACGCTGAGGTGACACAGCTGGCCTGGAGACATCCGACTGACAGTCAAGCCCTTTTAACTCCAAAAGTCCAGTCCCACTTTCAAACAGTAGGTTCTTCTTCCTCCCTTGGGTGTTCAGCGCTTTAGGCTGAGAGAAAAGGATTTGCCTCCTGTCGTTGTTCTAGGTGAATGACATGAATCATTTTTTTATTTGTGCTTTCCCACCCAGCCTCGATGTTCTGGGCAGGGAGTTACACCGAAAACACCCCATGAGAGCTTTGTAGCTGCGGAGAACCCGTTTTCTGTCTCATGAGGCTTCTATGGCAAAGTTTGTTTTTGCCAAATCCTTCATGGCTTTTGCTGGTTATTCACAGCGTTTGTCTCTTCCTGCTATGCGTGGGCTAGGCTTGGCAGGATTCCAGGGAATTGATGATGTAGGCAAGTAGGAAGTGGGAGCATCATATTGGTGCTGGCCTCAGGCAATCCTGAGGGAGCATCGTCCTTTGCCCCATATTTTGGCTGACACTGTAGTTCAAATCATTCCTAAGGGTCTTTATATCTCACCTGTTGGGTAATAATGAGAACTGGAAGGTAACTGCTCTGGGAAAAAGTACTATCTTGGGCTTAGAATCATAGAAGCAGATGGGTTGGAAAGGACCTCTGAGATCACCAACCACTACCACCACAGTTACTAGACTATGGCACTAAGTGCCACATCCAGTCCCTTCTTAAATACCTCCAGGGAGGGAGAATCCACAACCTTCCTGGGCAGCCCATTCCATTGCCAGAAGTGACTGTTACTCAAGAAAGCAAAACTGAAATCTTGGAGGTGGAATTTCTTTTGGCAGAGTTTCTTTTTTTGTGAATGGTCTTCTCTGTTTACCTGCAGAAAACTTTCAGTTCTGTTCTAAACTTTAAAAAAAGAAAAAAAATCAACTCCTCTTGTGCCTAAATATACTTATTTCTTTGCTGTTTCTACCACACCTTTGATATGAAGCCCTGCTGTTTTATTTTCAACCTGCCTCAGTTTCTCCATGGAGATGCTGAAGCAGGTGGAAACTTTTAACAAAGGTAAAGTGTTTGAGAAAAAAACAATCTGGAATCAGTCCTGAGTTTTTGACCGTGCCTTGCTCTTCTCTCACTTGGACTGCACCTGCCCAACAAGTCAAAACCCACTGGTGTACCCCAAGGGTGATGGTTAATTATTTGTACACAGCACATTTCAACACAAATTCTAACTGGAATTTTCTCCAGCAAAGTAATTTCTTTTCTGAAAACTCAAGGCTTATGTCTTGATCTTTCAGCTGCTTCCCTTGCACAGTGGGAGTCCTTAAGTTAGATCTGGTCCTAGTTAACTGAGATACAGCTTTGAAATCCAAAGGAAAGAGGGAAAAAACTGTAGCAGGATTTTGATGAGTTTGTGAAAGGCTTCACAGAGCATCACCAACAGGGTGATTTTAATTTTCAATTTTAATATGTCAATGTATTGGAGTTTTTTAATGATTTCTGGGGGTTTCTTTTGCCTTACAACAGCTGTTAGACACAAGTAGGGGATAAATGAAAAGCTAAGGAACAACACAGTGCATCCTTAAAAACTTTTATTAGTGTGGCACGGTGCAGACTGGAAGCACAGTCTCGAGTCTAAATATCCCCAACTTCAGTCTCCAGGCTGTCTCTGCCTCCAGGGCCACACCCCAGAGCCAGGTTTTGGTGTCGGTAGGAGACCTTCCTCCGGCAGCTGATGGGAGGAGCCGTAACACGTGTAAGGATGAGCAAAAGGATGTTCTGCAGGGGAGGAAGGCAGAGGGAAACCCACGGAGACACTTGTCCTGACAGCCCTGACTGCAGCAGACCCGTGAAAGGTGCCTGCCCGTGCCTGTTCTCTCGCAGGGCAGGAGAATGGGACATTGTCCCCTGCAGTGTTAACTTCGGCCCTATTTCTGCATTCCCTGCTGGAGTGCGAGGAACAGAAGGACTAGAAACAGTGCAAAATAAGATTTAAACAAAAAAAGAGACTGCCTGTGGACCTGGACTTCAATTTTGGCCAAGACTCATTGCCCCTTCTCAATTTCCCCTTCTGTGATGGTAGCAGCGTCACTGTTACACTAAGACTTGTGTTTGTTCAGTCCAGGAGACTCCTGAAATTATGATGTAACAGTACAGATACAATTGGGGGAATTGGGGGGGGGTGGAAATCCTATCCTAGTGTATTTTAACTACAGTTAAGGCAGCATCCCAAATACCTGCTTTATTACCAGATGTGCTGGAAGAAGCAGCCTAATCCCCAGTTTCTCAGCCTTTATCCACCCACAGCTGACCTGCGGTTTTCCTACCAGGATCCGGCCTGAGCAAAGCCTGCACAGCCCCAGCTGAGGATAACTAAAGCTCACTATATTCCAGAACACTTAAGGCATTCACTGCAATGTTAAAAATGCTAGCACATACGAACTCTTCAGAGAGTTAGAGGCACTATGCGGAGATTATGTGCAGAAGTCTGCAGCAATTTTTTTTTTTTTTTGCATTGCTCTTCATTGGTGGAATATATTTCTTGCAAATAGAAGAATTCTTTTCTTCTGAACACTGAAGGAAATTACAAAACAGTCAGACTATATGAGTCTAATGAACTGAATGGCTAAGGGAAAGAAACAAACCACCCGAGCCTACTACTGGGAAAAAGGAAAGATGAAAAAAAAGTGCAGCAATTATCACTGTACAAAAACCACCCAGAATAACCATGTGCTTTCAGCATCAGCTTTTGTTCCTCAGGAGTAACTATCCACCCACAGAAAGAAGACATTTTACACGATGTGCCAGGATCCTGGGGGGGAAGAAAGCCAAAGAAAAGTCAGAGTGCTCGTCTTCTGTGACATGGAAATAAACCTCATGACATAAATCTGGGCTTACTAACATGAACATGAGTTGTCTTTGTGGTAGCCCAGGGAAGAAGAAATCTCACCTGATAATGTTTTAATGTTTAGCTTGTTTTCTGCTTCTCAGATTTGCTGCTGGAGGACTGTCCCTTTGCCTAAAGAGAAGATGAGACAGTGAGAAACTGTGAACTAAGCTAAAAATCTGAAATCAAACAGTGACAGACACTCATCAGAATCACAATTCAGACATAAACATGATCTGCACTTGAAATACAGAAAATTTAGTCACAGCTCAGAGCACCCTCCTGAAGAGGAGTTAGAGACATCCCCCACTTTTACAGCCAGGATTGTCAGTTCTGTTGTTACACAAAAGACACCTGTGGCGATTTCACAATAACAATGAGAAATCTAAGAGAATCAATGAGAAACGTAAGATTTCCAGGCCAGATGTAACCATCTGGTTCAGGCATCTACCTGCATATCCTTGTGAGAGAACAACGTGATGGGAGAAGTTTCACCCTTACCTGAATCCTTTCTCTGTGCTTCTGGATGACAAAAGCCAAGCAACTCTTCTAGTCTTTTTTTCCCCCCCTTTTTTTCCTTTTTTTTTTTTTGAATATAGAAACAGCTGCCTGCCTTTTCCCATCAGATTCACTCTGCATACTTATTTACGACTGTATGTAGGTCTTCATTAATTTTAAAAAAAATAAATCATGATAGTAACTTGAGTGTCATTGCAAGAGTACTTTCTAATCACTTTTGGAATGCTGTTGCTCAAAACTGTCAAGAAAAAGAAGTGATGGGGATCGCACCTGAGGCAGCTATAGGCATGTGAAGTGGGACTCTTAGATCAGCAAATCTGGGAAGGAGAAACCTGTAGAGCATGCACTGCGGAAGACCATACTCTCTGAAAGGTAAGTATTTTTTTGGCCGACTTCCCTCGAAACAGTCAGGAACCTTTCTCCTATGAGTATGTTTACAACAATGAATCAATTTCGACCTATTGATGTAAAATTTTCCCCAGAATAACAGTCATGTGATATGAATCTAAAATCCAGCTGCTCATCTTGTATGTTTACAGTGCCCGGTAACTACGACTGTCCACACTATAGTATGTGTGTTTATACCGTTTTAGGGTCTCTGGGTTTTCCTTTGTCCTTTGAGGTTGGTTTAGTCGCCGTGGTTTCCTTTCCGCTTTTGTCCTACACTCCAAAGAAAAAAAATAATTACAGTTACAAAGAGAATAGTGCATAAAAACACATCTAATCATAACCAACACTTAAAAATGGAGAAACTCCTAATTCTTGGTGCCTTGCAGTGTAAGCTTAAGGAAGCTGCTGCAGAATTTCACTTGGGAACTGGTTATGCTTCCACACTTTCATCTGACCAAGGGATTTAATTTCTCAATAGCTATCATACTGGTTTGTTCAAAGATCTCGTGAATTCAAGCTTTGTTAATTCTTACTCCTCAAAGGAGAAGCAGGAGGTCACTGTAGCAGGAAACAAGGGAGGCATGAGCTGGGAGAGGCCAGCAGCAGATGACAGACAAGGGCAGCTGCTTTGCTCAGCAGAGTACAAAATCTATTATCAATAAAAAAAATGCGAATCATTCCTTCTGCCTGATGGGGTGAGGGACCAGGGCATAGGCTAGAACATGTCACAGACGTGCTGGGAAAAGTCTGAATGCTGTTTGTTAGCTGTGTTTAAGAGGATTATTGTGAAATAAATGCTCTATTTCTCATTGCAAGACCTCTCCAGTCCATACTTTCTGCATTTTTCTTGACAGCTCTACTGTTTTCCCTAACACACCTAAAACTCTTCCTGCTCCCTGCATTTCTCTCTACAAAACCCTCTTGAACTGCTGCTCAGCTCCGGCCTACAACCATTGCTAGGCAGTGCATGCCATCACTGATGAAAGGATTCCTTGCCTCTCTACAGTTGGTGGATACTCTAATCTGTACAAAAACTGTTATCCTACTTCTTTGCTCAACTTACCTCTCCAACTCTGTCTTACCTCTTTAAAAGACTCTAAACACCACAAACCTTCCTTCTAACAAATATTTAGTACACAGCAAAATGTATCAAATCTCCATTTCCAGTAGCAAGACAATCCCTACATCTGGACAGGGCTCCTGTAAACCTAAACTGAGCTACTGCAGAGAAAAGTGAGGATTGAAAACCTGTTTATTTTGCAAGTTATTAGCAGAAAATGTCCTACCTTTGAGTGCTGTGGTGTAGCAGGAGCATTCGCACAAGTGTCAAAGTCACCTGATAAGGCATCAATAGCTGCACTGTCATCTCTAGGCTTCTGCAATAATTTTGAAGTCATACAACATGCAATACTTCCCACAGTCCAATTTATGATTCAGAAATTTATGTCTGCTATAATTATCCATTTCTTAAAGAAAAACACACCTAAACTCTATACATATGTTACAGAGATGTCTATTTTGAGGATTCCAAGAGGCACAATTTCTTTGACTACTGGACCTGAGCACTCACAGTGCAGTTGTACAGAAAAACTGCATTTATTGTGAAGAGTTACTCCTCACAAAAGTTTTACTGCCCACACTGTTACTATTACCTACTGCATTCATGAGCATTTATGAGTATTTGCAGTGAATCACACCTTAAACCTACAGTGACACTACTTTGAAAATAAATCATATATATATATATATATATATAAAATAACATAATACATGTTACCTTTTGTCCTTTGCGGTTTACGTCATCCTTTGCTGTTGGCTTTGCTGCTTTACCCTTGGGAAGAAGAAAGAGTACATCTTTCATTTTGAACTGGTCAGATTAGTTTAAGACAAGTATTTACACACAGCATTGAGTGTTCACAGATTATCAAGAAACCTGTACTATTCTCAACTTATTTCTGTATTTCTCCTGCTATGTATTCACAGCCAGTTCATGCTGTGCTTTCATGGTCATGTCACTTTAACCCTCCAGGACACTGATTGTTACTGGGTAGTTCAAAGCATTTATTTGTTCAGACTGCCCAACTGAAAAAAAAAAACCCACAACAAAACAAGAACGGGACTACCTTTTTTTGTTGTTGTTTTTTGACTTACATGCATGCAAGGCTAGAGCCATCCTAACTACAGGATATTTCCATGTTTAACCCTAACACATAAATACCGTACAGACATTTACTCTCTCATGTTGTAGTTCCGAAGAGGACAGAATGGGTCACACACTCAAATTTCCAGTGTTGCAAATAAAAACTATTACAGCTTTTCATTACCTGATCACCTGACTCCAGAAGTTTTTGATAGTCAGGTGGGATGGTATCATCTCTTTCTCCAAGTTTGTCTCTGTGTTCAGATTTAGCCTTTTCCTGAAAGCATTTAAATTTTTTAACAACTTTAATACGCACGTTAGAAATATTAGCAAAGAATAAGTGAGAGGGCTTCTGAAACTTGGGGCAGATGCCCTTTTTGACTTTAAAATTTTAAAACTACCGGGGAAGGAAGCATATATGGATTTCATCATGAAGTGAAGTTGGCTTTGTTTTCCCTCAGTAACGTTCTTTACCTTAGGTATTGCAGATTACAATTTACTACTACTATTATGCAGAAATTGATTTTCTTATTAACAGAAGGGTCTTTATAGAATTTTAGAAAAAAGACTGAATGAAGACAAAATAAACATAAACAAGCAAGTTCAAAAATATGAGTGACTAAACGAACACCTCTGTTGATGAACTTGGTATTTGTGGGTCTAAAAGTCAAAGCCTGATGAAAAATTCAGCCAGAAAATTAATTTTAGAAACTGAGGCCCAAGAAGACACATGAAAAATAATGAGAATAATGACAATAAAAAGCATTAAAATAAAATAGTTTCAAATTTTCTGTAACATAAGAGTATGGAGTTTTTTCTAATAACCTTACTCTCACTTCCAAAATCCCATGCCATATATTCCTACAGGTATATGAGAAGTATTTTTTTTGGTTTTGTTGTTGTTGTTGTTGGGGTGGTGGTTTGGTTTATTCCTTCCCATACCTCACCCCAGACTGGTCAAGTTTCAGAATGTCTTTTGTCACCTTTACTTTATCCACAACTGGTTTGTTCTCGTCAGGGTCAGGCTCCCTCTGTCCCAGGGAATCAGACAGGAGATCCAAGGCTTCATCCATCTCTTTTCCTCCCTAACAAAGTGTAAACACATTTGTAAGTGCAAATGTGCTGCAAAAATAATTTGATTAATCAAGCTAATATAAGTACTGACTAATGAACTGTCAACTTCAATGAACAAAGAACTCTCCCTTTGTAATTGCAATGTTGTGCAACAGTAGGGGGGAAAACCCACAGAATATTTAGACTACAGAAAACATCGTTTCAGGAAGGGTTTATGGGATTTATTTCAATGGTTTTCTTTTGTTATATGTAAGCCTAACCTTTGTAAAGAGACTAGATCTATAAAACGATGGCTGTTTGGCAATTTCTGTTCATTTTGCAAACATCAGTTTGCTTAAGAAAAAAAGACCATAAAACCAACTAAAACACAGTTAGGTGAAGCTTTATATTCCCCCTCCAAACCAGGCTGGAAACATTAGTGGAAGATCCCTCTGCACAGATCAAAATGGAGAAGGAATAAGCAACATTACAATAAATGGCTGGAAGGGAGGTTCTCTTGGTGTTCAAAGAGGGTCATGGCACTGCCTGCTCCTCCACTAACCTTTGACTTCTCCATTTATAGGCTTGACTTGGCCACTGTGGTAAAGACTATGCTGGGATTATTTTAAATGTTCTCATTACCTAGGTGGGAAAGGGGGAAAGAAAGGGAAGGAGAAAGGGGAAAGAAGAAAGGCGGAAGAAGAAAGGGAAAAGGCAAAAAGGAAAACAAAAAAGGAAAAGGCAAAAAGGAAAAGGAAAAAGAGGAAAAGTTCAGCTAAAAGCTCAAGCCTAAAATTGAAAACACTTGAAAAGAGGTGACTGCCTGCATGGCCCTGCAGAAAGGGAACAGACACATCCCCCAATATCCTCAGTGACCCTGGAGGACTCAGCATGGGTTAGGAAGTTCCAAAGGAGTCTGAAATGCAGCACTGACTGGAACTCGGGGAGACTGGGCAGGCCAGTCCCCAGTCTGTTCAACACAGGGTGTCCAGAAAAATCACCCTTTATTTTTTTTTTTTTTTTTGTCCTTTTTTCTCCTCAGGGGAACATTCTCCCTCCGTGCAGCAGCCAGTTATCAGCAATAAATGACTGAATGTTGCAACAGCCCATACTGCTGGAACTGACCAGGCCACACTACTGTCTCTCCTCACTTCTTTTAGGATAAGGACCTACAGAAGAGTTTGCTTACTGAGGTAGAAGACAGAGGAGCTGCTGAGTGCACTGATGAAACTGTAGCAGCAGAGATAACATCCGAGGAACCCGTTGGCTTCCCACCCTCCTTGGTTTTCTGGAACAAGGCACAGCATCATGACAAACACAGGAAGAAAATATGCATCGAACTCCACACATCTAAAACACAGTGCCCATGCAGTTTACTTCTAGGAGTTTATTTTTCTCAGCAGCTTTAGTTATTTCAGATTGAAATCCCCTCCACTGAGATGGAACTTTTCTGCATCTCACTTTGTTCATGGTCTATCCTCCATCTCAACTACTGAGTTAAACCTCGTCAGAGGTGTAACATGACTCCAGAAGAGCTAAGAATTCACCAAGGCTATCCATATTCCCATGTAACACTTGTAAAATTCTCAGTTGCAAAGTATTAGTTATGATAAAAAGATAAGACGACTATTTTTTTCCCTGCTCTTCTATTAGTTTGCCGCAAAAAGTACTTTAAATTTTTGGTTACTGGATTTTATGTAAGAAACTTTACATAAACTTTGAAGGAAATATGTAAAATGTCAAGATTATTCAAAAAACTTGAAAATAAAAACAAATGTCAGAAATCAAATATACTTACCTTTTGTACAACTGACTTAGGTAATGGTGCAGGTGGTGATGGAGAACAGGAAAATCCTTCTGTCAAACCCTCTAACAGATCATTTTCACTCATCAGCTATTATTGAAAAGAAAAAACAAAAGAGGCTTTTAAGTCTCTTTATCTCCTAAAGAGTGAGCAGGTAGCACAGTCCATTTTTAAACTGAATACTGACTACCCTTAGTGACATTTGCCAGTAATTCATGAATGAAACAGTTATCTGAATATTCACTTTTTTTACCTGTGGCCTTTCTTCTGGTTTTGTTAAGAGTGGTTTTCCATCTTTATCCTACAAAGAGAGATCCTTTTTATTAAACCAACCAGTGCATAAATAACTGTGCAATACAGGTACTCTGGGAGCACTCACTGAGCAACACAGACAGTATTACACAAGAAAAGTGATGTAACTAGTCACCTCTGGTACCTCCTGCTGTTACCCAAGGTGCCACTTAAAAAAATCAAGGTCCTGTAGCTTAAGAACACATGAGTGCTGAGAAGTGATTTAGTGTGAGGTACTCTGAGCTTCCCTATTTTGTGTTTCCATTTCCACGGAAATAAAACAATTTATAAATAAAATCTCAGCTGTGGCACATGTTGTGAAAGTCTTGGCTAGACCTAAGCAACCCATTTATGTCAAGTATGTGTGGTGATGTTTGCAAAAATACCACCTTGAAAAATTGTTTGTTTTTTTTTAACACCTTAAACCAATTACAATTTATTAAGTTTTAAAATACCAAAAGTTACTCTGCATCAGAGTAACCTCAAACAGAATTATTCATCTGCATCTAAACCACCTGTATGCCCATGCAGGCAACTAATGACAGATGTCAGGTATTTGGGAACTTTAAACTGGAATTTCTAGATACTATAAAACTGGCTGAAATGGACACCAACATTACAGAATAAAATGGAGTCTCATTTCATCCACCTCTTCTGAGGAATGAAGGGAAAGTAAGACTAAGACAACACTAAATAAATACTTTAGCTCCTGTTAATCTGTATGTTGGAGAAATTGTTTCTTCATCTTCACCCAGTTTTTTGTGTTGTTCTGTTTTGGTTTTCTCCTATGAAGGCAAAATAGAAATCATAGCAAGAAAAACAACTAATTGCATCTCAACAGAAATGCACAATGAGCAAACTTTTAGCCTTCAGTCTACTGATTCAAATGATGTCTTTTTCATTCAATCCAACTACAAATCTAATGAAAATTAAAAGAAAGCATTTTCTCCTGGGAACTTTCACTTGACAGAATTCCAGAAGGGCTGTTTTTTCCTTTTTTTGACACCACTCAATTCCATCTGGCCCATGGTTTAGCATGGCACTGGGGTATTCAGACTGTAACTATGAACAGAATTCAGAATACATGTATTTCAGTGACTTTTCTATGACTTCCAATTTAAATAACAAGATTGGGATAAAGCCCAAAGTTTTATGCATCATCCATCCTTAATTTAAACTACTCATCATAAATTTGGTTCCTTTAGGACAAAGACCATACTGTGTGCAACCTCTGTGTGCATCTTAACTCTGCTTTGGTGCAGGAGTAAGACGTATGGAAGATGCAGTTTTCAGAAACTGAGGGAACTACTTTACTGCCATAGTCATAATTATTAAAAAAGTGCAGTCACTGTACTGAAATACTACCAATACTTCTTAAGCAGAATGAAACTGGTTTCAACAGCAATTCTTTTTTTTTTTTAAGTGAAAATATTATATCTATATTTTTTATAGCCTGAGGAAATACAGTAATTGAAGGCAATTACATCAACAGTCTATTTTTTGAGGTCTGATTTTTTTTCCTCTACCTTAACTTTGTCCATAGCTGGATTTTTTTCATCTGGATCAGTCTTCTTCTTTCCCAGGCTGCTGGACAAGGCTTCCAGTGCTTCATCTGGTACATGACCAACCTGTGTGGGTGTTGATACAGCAAAAAACAATTCTTTGGAGTTCAGTTGCAGCTGAAGAAACCTGGTTTTGTCTTTTTCTGCAGTACATTTTGTGTTCACAAACATCCTCCTCTTTAGAGCATTAAGAGGTAGAGGAGACCACAAGAACTGTCAGTTTGTCTTCCTCTATGAAGAAGGTTACTGACCTTCCCCATTCGATTCATTTTTTCTGGAAACCACTCAACCTTTGTGGAGGAAGAACACGCAATGCTGAAATGAGCATCTTGACAATATGCCCTGCCATTCCATAAAGGAAGCACTAAGTTTTGCTTTTAGATCCACTACTTACTGAAGACAGGGCTGGTGGAGCTGAAGACTGCACAGTGCAAGCTGTGGCACGAGGGACTACTTTATTCTCAGTGGTTTTTGCAGACACAGAATCCGAAGGCTTCTGAAACAGAAAAATTACACTGTATTTTATTGAATATGCTTAGAAAGACAAAACATGTTTTTTTTTCTTCCTAAACAGAGTATTAAACAAGGTGGAAAAGTCTAAATTTGAAGGCAGAAGCTGCTCAATTAAGAGCTGAGTGCCAATACTGCATGTTCCAACAAAGGCAATAGGGAAGGAAAAATATAAAGAGAAGAAAATATATTTCTTGAAAGAACAGTAGCACTATCCAGTCTTAATAAAACTATCAGTGTCAGCAACTTCAATGAACTAGAAAAACATACTTTGGAGATGTTGCTGGGCTTTGAAGGTTTGGACTGTGCTGCAGGCTGTGCAGGGCAGGCAAAGTCCTTTGAAAATTCATCAACAAGATCAGATTCACTCAGAGGCTGCAAAAAAAGGGGGATACAGGTGACTCACTGCCTGTTTTTCTTTTTTTTTTCCCCAAGAACTGTATTTCAGCTACTCAGAAAGAAGGAAAATATTTGTACCCTACAGTGAAATAACCTTTCACACTTATATGCAACAAAACAGCATGAACTTCCCACTGTATAACGGTATGAACTTCCCACATTTCAGAATAAGTCAGTTGCTTTGTCATCAAAAGTCAATATAAGGTAGAGAATTATAGAGATAACATAAAATTTAATTTAGAGACCCAGATACATAATGTTCAACACTGTCTACAGGGCTACTTACAAGTACGACCTCTTATAATAAATATAACCTCTAAATACAACCACTTAATTAGGGAAAAAATGCTAATATTTAGCTAGTATTGACTATAACAGCATCATGCTGTTACAATACTTCAAGTGTAAACTATACACAAGTAGTGGAAAACAGCACCATCAGCCCATTTTAATTTTTTTCCAAGCAGAAGAAGAGTTCCTTCAGGAGCAGTGTCACCTCACAGATCCCTCAGCCTGTCCATTGACTGCTGACACTCAGTGGCTTTCATTGTGCATGTTTTACTGAACAAAAAATGGAGTTTTAGTTTCCTACAGTGTGTCTACTACTGCATCTATTGATACTACGTGATCTAGTACTATGCACTGTACATATACCTGATGCTTTTGGGATCCTCCAAACTACTGTTCACAGCTGAATGTTTAAATCTTTGCTAGCAGTGGTGGCCATTCACTTCCTACATGCAACTTAGATGGTTAGGGACAGATTCATAATGAAAAAAAAAGACATTTGTGAAAGAGTCTCCTATTTTTCTCTCCCTCATTCCCTCCCCAAAAGCCTTTACAAAATGTCTCAACACATAAGGCCCCACTTTTCATAATGTCTGAAATCTTCTTTCAGACAGTAAAAAAAGGCATTTAGGTAAAACCATTTTTTTTTCCACAAAAGTTATGCACTGCATGTGCTTAAGGGAATATAGAGTGGAGCACCAAAGCAAGACAAGCCTGAGCTGAAATCCTGATGGAAGAACTTTGCATTCACCAGAAATCATGGAACAACTGTATGTGATTGAAAGTTTCCAGCTATTAGCATAGCTCTTTTTTTGTTTTGCTGATTTTGGCTTCACAGATGTAAATCAGTGGTGATACCACAAGAATACTGGTGAACACATCTTGCTCAAAGCCCCCTCATTTAAATCGCAAGCAGTGAAGAGAAGCTCAGGAAAATACTGCAGTACTACTGTGATTCACTTACAGAACAAATACGCAACTGTATTTGTGTCTCCCATTGAGAAAGGCAGAAGAGCATGGGAATACTTATTTTTCTACTAACCGCTTAAATTCTTTTGGCATAAGACCTCATGGTTCTGAGCTTACCTTCTACCTTGGTTTTATGTAGGACTTGGGTCAAACTGTGAACTGACCTCCCTTCACTCATGCCACATTCTCTTCTGAAACTTTTCTTTTTTGTGTTTGCCATTTCCTTTGTGCTCTCTGTGGAATAGGAGGGCTTGTCTCCTGACAGCGGGGCCACAGCTGCTCACTTTTTATATGATGACAAGCTTGACAGGTCAGGACTTGTCTTGCCTAAGACTGACGCGCAAATTTTTAGACACCAAAAGTCTTTTCACCACTGCCTTTGCATTCCTACACACCTTAACCTTGAATAATATAAATTACTTCACATTTCTGATAAGAGGGCACAGGGTCATTCTCACTCAGATTGGTCCTGACCTTCACGCTCGTTCCAGAAGAATGGAGGTTTCCTGTACTTGTCCCATTTTTGGCAGCATTCCTCAACTCACAGTATTTCCAAAGTGAAGCCCTCAGTTTCTTCAGCGCACAGTTCTTTTGCTTTCTTCCTGTGCTTTTTAAATTAATCTTTGCAACTTTCTCATTCAATATTTTAATTCTCTCTTGCACTTTTCTAGGCCATGATGGATGCTCTTTGCTAAGTCCAAGTTGGTCTTTGTGATTAGGAAAATGTCCACAGCAGCTTTTTTTCCCTTCTTTCCAGTCATGTTCTTTTATATTTGATCACTAATGAGAGGAAACTGTCAAGAAAACACAAGATTTTCCAGCTTCACCTCTCTCTGTCCTTCAACAGCTCCAACAGACCTTTACAGCATATCTTTCACTAACTTGCCATACAGCCTTTCTTTGTGTCAGCAGTAATTTCAGTAACTCTCTTGTGTCTTAATAGTGTCTAAACCTTTTCCATACTATGAGCTCTTCGTTCACAGTCAATGCATTTCAATAAAAAAAACTTTCACTTGACACATCAGATCAGCAGGTTTTGTGGAAGGAAGCAAACACAAAAGACTTACATAATGGCACAGAGAGAGATGAGGTGACAGAGAGGGAGAAAACAGGAATATCTAGTCACACTCCTACAATGTTGTCAGTTTTCTAACCTTTGCTTTTTCTTCAGGCTTCGGCAATATTGGTTTTCCATCCTTATCCTAAAAGTGAATTAAGCATTACTGACATTTTTGCTTTAAGTGCCATACTCAGTAATCACCAGAAAAAATAATGCAAAATAAACTCCACACACAAGATTAAATTACTGACACAGTAACAGGAATTCCCCTAAATGGGGAATCTTTACATTGCCAGGTAAGTGGATAAAAGAAGCAAATATGATGTCAGCACCATACAAAAGACCAGTGTTCATTCATATCGGTGTCAACATGTAGCAAGAATTAATTCCGTAGTAAACCAGCAGGAATTCATCCAGTAGTAAAACAAGCTTTGACTAAACCTTTGCACTTGAACAAAGATGTGGTGAAATCCCAGGTCTGCAGCTGGGCAGTCTTGAAGTCTCTAAAAAGAGGTGTAAAGCTGCACCTTTCAACACTCAATATTAACATCTAGCTCCAGCAAGGCCAGTTTATGCAGCATCACAGAAACTTCCAACTCTGAACTTTATCGAGAACACATCTCAGTTCTGTTGTTGTTTTGCTTAACCTTGAACAAATACCCATCCCTTGATGCAACAATCCAGAAAAAAGAGTGTACTTTTCCTATCATTTCACTTTAGTGTTTCAAGGTTACATTACAGAATGATACCAAAGAGGACTGTTGTAAAGTGATTTGCTGAAATTTAGTGTAAGAAACAAGAAACACCACTCTTGGAGAAGGAATGTGTGACCTGGGAAGATCAGATCTTTGCTCAGAATGCCTGAAAAACCCAGTCATGCCCACAAAGGAAAGGGAGGAAATTAGAGGTACAGAAAACTTACCAACTCTGGAGTTAACCTGTATTCTGGAGGTATTGTATCATCACGTTCTCCAGCCTTTTCTTCTTTTTTCTCTTTAGCTTTTGCCTTCAAAAGAAGGAACATAAAAAACACATAAAGAAATTAAAATAAAAACTTGAGGTACACTCAACTTCACTATCAAGATTCTTCAGCTTACTGTGTGTAGAAGAGATAGCATCAGATGAAATTATTCCATATACCAAAATACTGAAATTCCTCAATTTATTCCTACCAAACGTCTGTGGTAAAATCATTATGGTTTAAGATTCAACATCATCTGTGAATATGGCTGCATTATTTTAAATACCAAATATTAAATACTATTCAGAGCTCTTATTTTGTGGAAGGTACTTTTAGAATTTTTATGTGTATAAAACTCTCAGATTTTCTTGTATTTCATCACTCTGATTACACAAGCCAGAATTCTGTATCTTTTTCCATCACTGGCACTGAAATTCAGCTTTTAATTCTCTGGACCTCCTTTGTGAAGCAATGTTGAGTTACCTGAAGGCCTAGACTGACTGAATCTGCAATGCAAGCAGCTCTTCTTTTGTCAAAATTGAGCCCAGCAACAGGAGATTTTTTTACTATTTCCCTGTAATTTTTTTTCTCTGAGCTGCTGGTGAAGACAGGAAAAAAACCTGCTATTAGTATGGTTATAGGCAGTCTGCAAACCTAAACTAAAAAGTGACAGTTTAAAATGCAAACACAGGGATACTGTCAAAAATCTCCTGAAGAAAAGCAAAACTCTTAAAAGACAGTGAAAGGTGAGACTCAGATTACAAAGAAAATGTGGTTTTATGGAAGAAAGGAGTACATGCACTGGAAGTCAATTAAAAATCAAACAGCAAGTATGTGCAAAATGAAAGCTGGCTATAAATTGTACCCAGTGCTGGGGGAAAAAAAAAAAAACAAAGAGCAACTGTATTTACCACAGGGGAAGGTGCAGGTATGTACGTTTGTATAGCCAAATGATACGCTTACAATTTCCCAGGCCACCTTATTATGTTCTACTCTACCTCTATCCACTTGGGATTTCTTAATTTTTAAAATTTTCTTAATCCCTGAAGACTCACACATTTCTTAGGCCTTTGATGTAGGCTGTTCTTGTTATTTTACACATTTGTACAGGATCTAACAAAGAGGACTCAGGATTCCACAGAAGAATCTCAAACCAGGGTAAAAAAGGAGTAAGATGCTACCTCTGACACCTCTACAACAGGGCTAGGATCTTCAGGTTCAGGTTCAGGTCCTCCAAGAGTATCCAGGAGAGCTTCCACTGCATCTTCTTTAATTTCCTGTATTTAAGGAAATATGCAAATAATTTCATTATCTCTTTAAATTTACACAGATTTTACCTTATGTATTTTTTTGCTTTATGTGAAGCAAACAGCCAGCATCAGATTTGTCATTTTGGTTTGGCTTTATCCACTTTCCTTAACATCAAATTATGCGACACCATTAGCACAGTCTAATAAGGTTACGGCTTCTCTTGAGAAGAAAAAAAAGGGGGGAAGTAAAAAACCCCACAGCATCACAGTTTCATGTAACACAACTGTCATGTGGTTTGACATGGCAAACCAAGGAAGTGTAAGGTCACACTTGCTCTATACAGAGGAAAAAAGAAAGGTTTGTAAAATATGGGGAAATTACATCATACCCAAGTTTTATACATGTTATCACATAACTAAGACAGTCTTTCTATTAATTTTTCTACTCTACTGCTTCTAGTCACAAGAGCCACAGTCATTCTGAAGAATCCAGAAGGAAAATCATCTGACTCACTAAGGCCAAATCTTTAAGACAGGGGATATCTGAGCACTGATAATTCCTGTTATTCCTACTGTTTCTACGATAAAGAGGATTTACAACTGAAAGAATGATGAGAATCTTTAAGGGATCAGACACACATAATATGGCACGTGCCTGTAAATTTTAATTACAAGTTAACTAGTGGAAGAATGGCTATGTATACCTCATTTGATCTTGTTTTCTTCTCCTTAGGAGGAACTGAGGTCTTGACTGAACTTGCTGCTTGTGCTTGCACGATTTCTCCTTCCTTACTTTGTTTCTGTGAGAGAGATGAAATTACAGGCAAATTTGCAAAAGTAAAAAGAAGTGGAAAATTGCCAATATCGCTTTAAAATGAAATATTAAAGACAATAATGGCAATGTTTCAGCAATAAAGGCCTGCGATGCTAGGAAAAGTATCAATACCTCTGTCAGACTTGTCTTCTCTTTCTGAGCAGAAGCAGTACTGCAGGTAAAGTCAGATGACAAGGCCTCGGCAAGCTCATCATCTGTCATTGGTTTCTGAGCAAGAAATTGCAAACCAAGTTATGACTATAAAGTTCAAATATCCAACCAGGTCAAGCTCAGTTTACAGTCTGACTGTGTCCCATGCTTACTCACACAGTGACCTCACTGGCACGTGCCCCTGACACAAGAAAAAATTAAAGATATTTTCCCTCACTGGTTGATTCATTTTTCAGATAAGTTTTTATTTTAGTATGTTGAAATTACAGATGGTAAAATTAAGCTGGCTGGCAGAATTCTCTTTTTTAATTTAACTGCAGAAATCCAAGTAGTCTTTGCTAAAGACGTTACAGAGAGACTCTTCAATGCACAGTTTACTATTTCTCCCCTCTGATCTTAGTATGCCCAATATCTCTGTAAGCATTTATTTGTTTCAGCTTCAGTGCTCTGAAAATTTCTACACCTTTATTAAAAACACCTGTGCCAAGTTCTATTTAGTTTTATCAGTAGCTATGATATCTGGCACTCCCACTTCCTGGGATTTTTGGAAAAAATTTCAACATTTACATTTTCCTAGGAATCCAGTGGTTACTTTCACCTTCCAGTGTAAAAAAATAAGTCTTACTTCATTTGGTTCATTTGCTTTTGGTAGGACTCCGTCTTTGGCTTTGCTCTAAAATGAGAATTAATTTTGTAGTAAATGGGAAGCAAAAATATACAAACATGAAAGAAAACACGCACGAAGAATGTGTTTTGTATCTCACTGACCTTCAACAATTTAACATACTCTGGAGGGAGACTACCCTCCCGTTTACCCAGTTCTTCCAAGTATCTTGAATATATATCATCTTCCTGTGAAAAGAATGCACAAATTAATGTTTGTGCACTGCTCTTTACTGAAATAAATTTCTGATGTAGAGCTACCTATAGTGATACTTCTGGAAAGAAAGATACTTCTGGCTTTGTCAGAGGGCCAACCTGGGCTGTGACTACATAACGTCTTTCAGGATCTAGTATCATGCACATGCCTCTTGACCAGCTTCAGCAGTGCTCAACATCAAGCAGAACTCTGCATGTCCATTCCCAAATTATTCTGCATTAATTTAAGCAATTTCAGTGTCTCAGACCAGAGGATGGATTGCTGTACTAATTTTTATATATATTTTATATATATTTATAAATTCCAAGATTTTTATCATGGCTGAGTACTGTACTGAACCACTGAGCTTGTAAACACAATGCTTCTCACGTGACTCTCCAATTCACACTCAGAAAGATGTGCATTCTTCCCCAAATTCCCAGTGTTTTACTCTTTCTCAAGCAGAAATGAAACCTCCTCGGTTGTTTACACTCTTATACCTCCCTCCATCACCTCCTTTTGTAAATCCATTGCAGACCATGCTTGGAGTCAGCTCAAAATGCAACAAACTTACTTCATTGACACTTCAAGTGTTTTCTATTGCAATAGATCCGAAACTGTGTAATTTCCGTATATACTGAAAACAACATTAAAATGTTAACTATGCACACTATTTTAACTCTTAGTAGATCACAGTGACAAGTACTGGATCAATGTAGTACTGAGCAACTACAGACATAATTTGGGGATGGATTTCTAAGAAATGAAAATGCAAAGTGTAGAATACCGTAACTTCTGGACCAGTGTAAACAGGAGTAGTGGGCACATCTTCTTCAGGTCCACCCAGGGTATCTATTAGGCTGTCCAGTGCTGACTCATCCATACCAGGCTACAAAATAAGCAAACCATCATAGAAGTTACCATGCTGTGTACAGGAAAAAAAAAAAAAAAAATCTGGTGAATCTTTAGAAGACCCCTGGAAACCAAATCAAACCCCTGCTTTCAGTAGGACATGCACTATGTGTGCATTTATAAATTCATACATTTTTTGCAGTGAGAACTGTTCTTAAGCTTGTTCTCCAGCATCAGTAACAAGATAATCTGTATTTATATCTCACCTGGCATAGATGCACATATATGCAAACATAACTGAAGAGAGTAATTAACTTTAATTGAAAGTTGTGGTAAAAGTGATTCTAAATAAGTCCTATTTGACAAAACTCAGATGACACACTAGTAGTTTTTTACCTATTCAGATGGCCCTTCACCATCATATTTAACTATTATGTATAAAAATTTAAGCAGTTACACTTTTTTTTTTTCTGAAAGTGTTTCAGAGAGAAAAGCACCCTCTGAGACATTTTTACAAGGGAAGCCATTTGCCTGGGACTGTGTTTACCAACCTCAGCACTTGATTTATCAGCTGCAGCAACCACACTTGCACCAGCTGTGCCAGCAGAAGCTGCACCAGCCATCGTGGACATCTCACATTTAGGCTGGAGAAATAAGAGTAAAATGAAGACATGGCTTATTATTTAACATGGTCCTATGTTAAAAATGCTAGAGACAAAACAAAATAAAACAGAGGTGCTCTACTCAGGCATCCACACCTACTGTCCTTCTTATCTGCACTTGGTATAACAGTGATTCTGCTGTGGGAAAGAAAGGATGCTATTTTAAGTACTCTACCTCTTTCTTTTACTTTGCCAGTAAAAGAAATCTGCAGTGCAGAAGGGTTATAAGGCCCCTTCCAAGTCTCTCTTGAAAGCCTTCATTTATTCCTGGCAACTCTCAATACACTATTAAAGCCAGAGGAAATGGTGCTCAAGCAGGTAGGGTGAAAAATGCTGCAGGGAGTCAGGTGCAGGAGCAACACCACACAAAATGCCGAACTTCTGCATTACTGACACTCTCATTTACTGCAGAAAAATAAGGGGGATGTAGTAGAGCTACAGGAGCCCTTCATGCTACCCAGACACGAGCAGACCAAAAGATCCAGACCCTGACTCTACCACATGCTTTTGCTTTGTGTTTTTTCTCCACAAGTGCCCCTTTGAAATTACCCTTGTGACAAAAAGTGTGACATTTCTAGGTCCCAGGTTTTAGAGTAGGAAAGGATGTTTGTCATACACAAGTTTAAACACAAGGCAGCCTTTGAGCTTTTCAACACTGTGGTTTTTGGGGGCCTAGTCTCACCTGACAATATTCAGCTTAAGAATCCACCTTGACGTGGATTTCGATATCATAAATAATAAAAATTGGTTGTTGCTTATACTTGTACCTTTGCTGTCTCTGGGGGGGTTGCTTGTGGAGGTTGGTCAGTCTCAGTTGTAGTTCCTTTTCCAGCATTATTTGGTTTAGAACCTGTTGTCACAGAAGGTGAGGTTTGGTTTTTTGCCTGTGTAAAGATAAACTATTATTAGATATGGAGGGCTGGCTTTGTATTTCTTTTTAATTGTTTTTAAAAATGAAAGAGAAGAAAAACACCAATGCAGCCCTCACTAAAAAAATAAAATTAAGGGAGAGAGAAAAAAATTATACAACTTACATCACTGGGTTCCTTTTGCTTCTCTTCAGACAGCTGTTTATTTTGAGAGTCTGTTGGCTGTCATGAAATAAAATATTGAGATTATTTACCCTCTCTGCTGTTCAGTGCTATGGAACGTGATCTATGCTAGTTCAAATAAGCACAAAACAGATTTAAAAATGGTTAAGAAAACACTTCTTTGGCTGTCCTGAATTAATAAAGCATCCTGACTGTTCCCCCCAAACACCACATTTCCACCCAGCAGCTCCCAGCTCTTTTGTGCACAGGTATGTTACTGATCACACAACAGTTTCGTGCGGCACAGTAACAGCAAAGAATTTTGCCTCTAAGTTAGTAAAAGACCAAAGTATGACAACTCTGCAAAGGCGAAAGTTAAGTATTTACCTTGGTTGACTGGGTGTTTTTTTCAGATCCTGCTTTGGTTGTTGGTGCTGACTGAAACATAAACAACAGGCAGAAATTAATATGCTTGAGTATTTCTAAAGGGTTGGCTTATATAACGCAGAATATCAGACAGGTTCACACTTGTGAGCACACATGCTGTGTAACCAACACACAGGGCTTTGAACTTGCAGTTTACAACTTCCTGGCAGAAGCAGCCAGGTCAGGGATCTAAGAGCATTCAATTGTGTAAAAACACACACCCACGCACACTCCTCATAGGGGGGATTGAAAGGAGAGGGAAAGAAGAAACTAAATATAATGAATGAGTAGTTTGATTTACTGACCAAAAACCCCCCAAATTACCATTACCAAATTTTGAAATAACGTCAAATATTATTTAATAAATTATAATTTATCATTTTTCAATAAATTAATTATAAAAATACACACAGTCCTTATGGAATAGACATTAATGACTTAAATTTAATAGGATATACACAGGATGGGATAGATATGTGCAATTAGTATCCTTATACTACACACAACAGAAACGTGTAAGAACTAACACTGAAAAATAAAAGAATGGTTATATCTGATAAGTCAGGAAAACAAAAACACTGTTAGGTGGTAATTTAAATTCTTTCACTGCTTTAATTCTAGGGTAATCAGAGGTCTCCAGAACAGACCATCCAGTCCAACCTTTCACAGCAATCTAAGCAAGATGGCCCGGAACATTTTTCTGCCAAATTTTCATTACCATTCAGACATACCCAGCTTCTGGTTTTTATAGCTGACCACACAGAGAAATTTGCTAAATTTGTTTAGCACTTGCTGGGCAAGTGTTCACACCCACACACTGAACTACAGACAACTTGGTTGGGAAATCCTGAACATGCATTAAAACTTAGATGCTGTAGACCACAGTAAGGAACACACATCCACACACAGGTCAGTCACCACAGGAAGAACACTGATGGAGAGGAAGAACAAAAAACTCATAAAGTGAGGAAAAAAGTTAAAAATAAGTTTTAAAAAACCGAAAATAATCAGTTAAGCTCTCAGACTCCCCCACCCTGTTCCCCCAGACTGCCTGTTTTGTATTTTTTCTTGATGCCTAACATGATTAAAACACAGCACTTCTCAGATTCAGTCATGCTCTATATTCTCCCACTTGTCCATCCTCTAACTCAAAGACACACACATCCATTTTTCTACCTGTGCATTAAACAATCCTATACTGAAAGGGTAATCCTAAATTTTCACAGATTTTAATCTAAGTAAGGTTTGATGTATTTCTGTAACATCTCTAGCAAAGATGAGACGTGAGAAGTTCTTCAGCCGTAAGACTGCAAAAATGGGACAGAAATGTAAGGATGAGGTTCAAGAAACACAGAGTTTGACTTTTTCTCCTGTGGGACTGCTGCCTGCTCAGGACTTTAAGTACCCTGCTGTCAGAGCACAAATTCAGGTTTTCCTTAAGTACTTTTCAGAAGAAGACCAAACACACCTTTTTTGCAGGACAATAAAATATATGTACTTGCATTTCTGCCAACACCTGACAGAACCTTCACAGAACATTAAATACAAATTTTCAACCTGCCAAACCAGATATGAGCAACTGCAAGTCTTGTTTTTTTAAATACTGTAAATATTTTTTTACTAAATACTTAATGCATCTCTTGCATGTTGTATGCATTACTTGTTATTCTTTTGCTGTCTTAAAATGTGCCGAATTGCTTGTACCATAAATTTATCTATGACAGTGCTGAAAGTATGGACCCATGTGGGGGTCCATATGCTTTGTTTCAGGACTTACACACATGGGTATGCTAAGGCCACATTAAAATCCATGATCACAAACACACACATGCTCACACACACAGACACATCTATTTAAATATACTTTTAGCAATGACAAAGTTCAAATCCAATTAAAATCAGCAGGCAAGTAAAACAATTCTAGTAGGAGCCTATACATTCAGAGGGAACTGTTCAGTCATCCTTTAAGCAGAGTCACAGCAGACCCACAGCCTGAAGCCATGGCATCAGTTGACAGTGTGCACTGAATTCCTATGGGAAGAAGATGTTTGACCTCCCCTTCAACTGCCTACTCCCACCAGCTCTGTGTCAGGAACTGAGAGGAGGCATTTTAAGCTGTCTCAGGAAAAGTGAAAGACAGCCTGGAAAAGAAAATAGTATTTTTTACCTATTTCCCTATTTCACACATGCAAAAGAAAGAGAGCTGAACAGGATGTGGTTTTGGCAGTGGCAGCACCTGCTTCCTCTAATCCGCCTGCAAGATTCACAGGGTGTCTGGTCCTCTAAACTCTCCACCTAAACCCAGGCTTTGCCTACAGAACAAGAAGTTCCACATTCCTTCCTCTGCCGCAGCAGCTCACAGCTTTCTCAGAGAGACATAATACTGTGGGTTTGTCAGAGACAAGGATACACACACAGAGAAATGAAAGCTAAAGAAGGGCCCAGAGCATGTTTAAGAGTAGTGGCACACTAGAAAGACTCTAGGAAAGGCAAATGAGACTGTGTGGTTACAGCAGGCAGTCGGGAAAGAGTTACCAATTTGCAAGAAGTTTAGGACTAGACAATAAAGTGACTCAGCAACCTTATTTCTTTTCAAAGAAGTCTACTGTCAAAAATGCAAGTGACTTTCTTAATCCAGCAGAGGAAAAACATCAATAATGCAACAGACATTAAAAGAAAACACTAATTATCTTAACACATGCAAATGCAGGACACTGTTTCAAAGAGATTTGTGTTTACCAGACTTACAGTGCTGAAGAATGCCTCTGCTCCTCTATTTTTGGCTCATTTACCATGTTCTTCTGAGAGTTATTTTAAATTTCAAGTAGGGAAAGACCATCGCTGTCTGGGCTAAACCATATGAAGAACTGCAGCAGTAATGAACATGATACAAAGGAGTTTGCCCACAAACATAACAGGAGGATGAAACCAAAGACTTGCAGATACCTTCATTTATGAGTAACGATGATCATGCACGAATGGAAAAGGCTTAAATGTCATCCAGCTCGCTGTTATCAGTCTTAGATGTGTGCAGAGAGGAATAAGTTTTAAAAGGCTGACGGAAATGTAATAGGTAAGCTCAAATGCAGAGAAGGTGGAGACAGGTGCTCCACCTAGATGAAGACACATGTCAGAATGACCAGAGACAAAAGTTACAGCAAAGAAATTTTCCATTTGATAAATGGAAAAAAATCATCATAATGATGCCATAATCTGGCTGCCCAGGTATCCTGTGTAACACACTGTAGGTGTTCAAAAGGTGTCTGGCAGTGCCATTTACCCACAAAGTTGGCTCCGTCTGGTCAACAGGACCTCCAGGGGCCTCTTCCACCCTGACACTGAAGGCATCCCTGTATTGGCTCTTACTCAAAGTGCAGGCAGCCCTAACCTTTACTGCCATGCAAGTCCCTGCTGGCCTGCTTTGGTATTCAGTGTTTCTGCTGGTCTCACTGGTAGGATTGTGGAAAATGAAAGGGGGGAGAGTCATTAATCATTTGTTTAAACAACACAGGTAACTTCTGTTAGGCAACGGAGGCGTAAGGGAGGATTATGACTGTCTTCTAACAAGTAAAGTACATGACTGATGACACAGCTCTGACCAAGGAAATTCTAGTCATAAAACAAGACAAAACAAGCATAAAGGACAAAGACAAGGGAGCTGTCAGACAGAGAAAGACGGGAAATTAATGAGGAGGTAAGATCGTATGTACAGAAAAAGCTGAAGCTAGTCCTGAATTTGTTGAATACGTGAAAAATTATAACCAGGTAAATAACCCTGCAACTACACTGGGGGGAGCTATATACGTGTCACAAAGTGTGACAGAGCTAAAATTAAACAGTCATTAACATTTTGTTTTTTACTGCTATCATAAAAACCTCTGAATGCTCCAAATAGTATTTTATCAATACCTTTTGCAGAGGGAACTAAGCTGCAGATAAGAAATAAAGAAAGTAAAGTCAATCAGTATCCAAGTGCAAAAAAAGAAATTCCATGGCTTCATACATTTGTGTTTAACTGCAAGTAGAATTTTTTCAGGAGTTCTTACCCTGGTTTCAGATGGCTTCATAATTTGTGGTTTTGATGCATCCGCAGAAGGAGACTGCTTTTGAGAGAAAAAAAAAATAAATTAAGGAACTTTACCTTTGTTATACATTTGCATTAAGCAAGCATAAACAATCTGAATTCATCAGTTATCCAGCTAAAAATTAAAAATTAGTTATCATTTTAGATCTTTTGCCTGGTCGGTTATTTCTACAATACATACATGTAGAATTTTGACAGTATGATGACGCTGACAGAACTTGAAACATTATTTTTTTCCTAGCACATGTAATGATACCAAATTTTGCATCAAGTATCAAGACAGACTCGAATCCTGCTCTCACACTGAGGCACACACACTTACTGTGCAGGATTTGTCCACACTTCTTTTCTTTTTAGCAAAAATGTACTTTTGGATTCACTAGTCTGTCACACAAAATATTTAATACTAAAGTAGCATACTCAAATATGTTGAGATAAAAAGGAATACTTAATATCTACCTAACGCACACACACACACAAACGTTTCCACACGTCATGTAACCCTTTTGGAACTCTTGCAAAGGACATGATGGTCTGCTTCCCTAACTTCTGGGATGTCAATTCAAGAACAGCATGTTGTACTTCTGTTGTGGCTGCCTCAGACTTCAAAGCCTAGACATGAATATTCCAGTTGTCTCATCAATACTTTATACAAATGTAATACTACTCCTCTATTCCTGTTTCACATTCCTGTGCTCAAAGCTGCGTTTTGCTGTATTTTGTAGATGCTCAAAGGTCTATTCTATGATTCTATGATTTGCCATCTCCTTCACAGTAACAAAAGGTTTTCAATAACCCTTTAATATATTTCTATACCATCAGGTAAATCTGTAGGCAACACAGTATTTTTCTTCATTTGCTCCTTAATAGTTTTTCCTGTCCTTTTCTTTCTTCTCCAAGAAATTAATCTGAATTCCTTCTACATGACTAACAAGTAGGTATCTGCTCTACACCTTCGTATTAGTCATCCTAGTCTCTGTCTATTTAATAAAAACATTTATCTGAGCCCTTCTCCCTTCCTCCCCTCAGAAAACTCCTACCAAGCCACTGTCTTACAATGTACTGAAAAATTCCTTCCCAAGTCCCAGCACATCAGCATCACTACAGCCTGCAGAGACTAGCAAACACCTCCCAAAACCTCAGCTGCTTCTTTCTGCCCTGTTCAGCTGGAGGGCAGTGACCAAGAGAAACAAGGAGTGTAAATGCTCATGGAGGAAGAGAAGTGGTTTGAAAGCAGAAAAGCAGTTCAACGAACAGCTGCTGATCAGTGGTTGTGGAGAACACTGAGCCCTGTGGACACTTGGGGTTGACTCAGGGAAACAAAGCCTTGTCCTGGGGAGTCAGAGAGGGGAAGAGCACACAGGGAGAAAGCACCGTGACCTTCCGTCACACCACCACAGAGTGTCTCGTCTCACTTATTTTCTGCCTTAATTCCACAATACTCAAGACCTCCAATTTTCCACTCTGTCCCCCAGAAAAGCCACTACAAGGAAGAAGAGGGTCCTCATTCTTCCAGCCCTTAGGTGAGGGGATGTGCAGCCAAGCTGAGCCTCACAGGCTGACAGCCAAGAGGCTGCCGAGATCCAGTCCTTCATCTGGTCACCCTTGTGCCACTTTGTCAGCACCAGACTGGCTCTGGGGGTCATCCTCTTACCACGGGTTGTCCTGGTGCTCCCGTCCCTGAGGATCCTGCCAGCTGTGCCCCAGCTGTTCTCTGCAGTTTGCTGCAGCCCCACAGCCAGGCTGCAGAAAGGGTGAAGCAACACTCAGACGAGTGTCAGGCGTGGAGGTAAATATTCAAGTGCTGCCTGGCAACCAGCATAACAACAGCCTGACGCAGAGCTGCTGAGCAGCTCTGGCCCAGGCAGGCACACCCTACTCGTTCCCAGGGAGGGGAATCTCACCATGCCATGGGCCAGACACCCCTCCACTAAAAGGTTGGGATGCCAAACAGCAAGGGATGGACTGGACCAGGAGGCTGGAGCTGGGCAGAGAGAGAGGGGTGTCATTTGAGCTGTCAGGAATCCCTGAAGGGCACAGCCAACAGCAGAGGGAAAAATAAGTGTGATCAGTGCTGATTCCTGTTCTCCTGCCTGGAAAGAGGCATGGGTGCTGGAGGGTGTTGTGCCAGCCCTGGTCATGACCCATAGGGGGGTCCCAGCCTGAGCGTTGTCTGTCACACAGTTCTGTGAGCTGGGAGTGGAGGCAAATCCACAGCAAAACATCCAGGACCACAAGTAGTCCACAGGCAGAGAGCACATGGAGATGATCCCCGCATCAAACTCCCACAACCACCACAGAAGGGACTTGAAAGACAGAGAAGAGGCTACAGGATAACAGTGATTAAGTAAAGACTGGTCCCCTGTTAATTACCCCACTCTGGTGATGGGCAGTGTGACAGCTGTAGGGTCACAGCCTGTCCTCTCACCAGCCCATGCTGCTGGCAGGACAGGGACAGGGACAGGAGCTGACCAAAGGACCTCAGGTGATCTTGAGTTAGAGAATGGCTTTCCAGGAAGAGCTGATGACGAGACCTGGAATCTAATCTGAAATTAGTCTTTATTCTACTGTTGAAAGAGAAAAGCCATAGAAGCCAAGAAGTTAGTAAAACAACACAAAAAATCTACCCAAAATTGGTTATCTAGTCTCACTGTGTGTACTTCAGAAATCTGTAAGTAAAAAGTGTGACAGAAGAAGAAGAAAGAAATGGTGACAAATACCAAAAGATAACAATTTTAACAGCTCAGATGATCGGATGCAGATGCCCTTTGGAAAAAGAGAACAGCAGGTGAAGAAATTCATGAGAGGTCTTGGTTACAGACAGCCAAAAATCACTGAAACTACCCTATATGCAATGCAGTGAGAGATACTGTCAACTAACACTTTAAGTTCTGGAAATTGATGGAGAAGATTTGTCACACTGAGGAGGTCACTGCCCACCCTCAGAAAGGAGCACAGTGCACCTGGTAGAGACATTCAAAACCAGAAGAGATGCTGAAAGCATTTGCCAAGCAACCCACTTAGTGGGTGCACAGAGACACTTAGATGATAACAAGAGAATAAATGAGAATGAACAGTTTGGTCAGGAATAAAGCAATGAACCTTCGGAGGAGGACATGCTGTCAGTGCAACTTCTCACAGTACTTGAGGTGATGTTTTCTCAATGAATCAGGGAAGTTAATCAGTGCCCAGCCTGAAGGGACCTCTGACAATTGTAGGAAGGCTGAAGACAATCAGATGCAGCAACACAAAACCCCCAAACCAGCAGCAATGCTGACAAAAATATGTGAAGGCTGTAGTGCCACAGGCTGAGACACTCTTGCCAAAAACAAATAAGGAAAGAGGGATCTGGGAGAAAATAATCTGTTACTGTGACAACATAAATGTGAAATACAACTTTCAACCTTTTTGACGTGAGCTCCTCTAGGTCAAATGCTAGGACAATTCTGGCCATCACACTGCAGCACATATGGATAAAGAAAGATCTGAGGACAGATTTAGGGGGGGAAAAATGAAGAAAAAGTATGTATGAGGTATAACTTGGTGACAGGAAAAGCAAGTCAGCACATGATCCTTTGCACACTGGTCAGGAAGCCAATAAGATGGGAAACAAAGAAAAAACTGACTTACTCTGTAACAATCTCTCAAGTCAGAGCTCAAAGATAGCCCTCCTGGAGAGAAGGAAGAATTCCTTCTGTGGCAAAGACTACTCAGATGAACCAGGTGCCTCCAGCCCTGGCAGCCCTTGGGAGAATTTATATAAGTATTTTCTGAATGATCTACCTTGAAGTTAGACTAAAACAGATACTGAAGTGCCACCCGAATACTCTTTTGGGCCTAACACATCTTACATATGAATGAGCTGGGACAGCTTCTCAGGTTCAGAGCTGACATCAACTCTGATTCTAATATGACTAACTTACAGGGTTACCTCAAACCAGCTGTGTAATGTGAGGGAAAACCTAATCTACTTGATTAGAAATGGCTCTTTACAGGAACGGTTCTGATACTAAGCTTTAAGATGTGCACTTTTAAGATGTGGGCAGCAAAAGCTCTTCTAGAGAACTACTGTGAAAAATAATGGGTTATTTCACTGAAGTGTAAAATACCACTTGAGCTGCTACAGGTTAAATGTCTCACTTGCTTTGATAGCATGTGCTAAGGGCTACACAGTTCTGTGATCTGTGGCATAAACACAGTTCCATTAATTTTCCATTAAGCCCACAAGGAGTGAGTACATAATCTGAGCCAACATCTCTCTGTGTGTACATGTACAAATAAATACATAAGTATAAAGATATAAATATATATATTAAGGCAATGCAGCAGCTAAGACATGCCGTGATTTAAAACTGCAAAAAATTCAGCAATAACTATATAAATTTTATTGTAGTGGTATTTATAACAGCTGAGTTTAAAATTACGAATTTGAGTGCTTCTGTGTCATTTTTCATCCAAAGTAATTTTGGAAATATCTATTATTTTTAATTATAATGGCCAGTCTTCACGAGTGAAGATCCGGGGAAGGTCTTTACACCTTCCAGCCTGCGCATTGGATTTTTTAGGTGAGACACAGTGTGCGCGGAACTGAGCCCACCCTTTAATCCTAAGGTTCATCTGCCGGGGCCAAGCGAGCTTGGACGGTGGCAGCGAGGTCCTCAGGACGTAGGTGGGTTGCCTTTAAGGGCTAACGAGCCCCACCTGCCCGGGAGTGGCCCTGACCGGGAATCGAACCCGGGTCTCGGCGGTGATAGCGCCGCACCCTTACCACTAGACCACCAGGGGCTCCATTTTTTTTTTTTTTTTTTTAATTACTGTTCTTATATATAGTTATGCTATTAAGTTGTTACAAAAAAAACACCACCATTTTAAGAGAAAGGTAAAAATCCCCACACAACCAAGAAAACAATATTCTTTTCAACATGTCAGGCTCTCAGTTAATTTTGTAGAGGTTTAATATTAAGAACTTAATGAAATGGAGCAGCAGGATACAGGTTTCCAATTAGCACCTATGTATTACTCGGAGACTGGTATATTTACATAGAACACTGCTACTATATACAGCCTATTATGTTGTCCTGTTGTGATCAGTTTCTATGCAGAAGTGATCAGAATGATTTCTAAACAATTTACGGTGCAAATTCTAATGACTGACTTTGCCACGTGCCTCTTTCACTTCTAAAGCTTCTAAATTATCATTACTGAAACTCACCAACACTGCATGTTATAAACAAAGCCTACTGCTCCTGCCAGCCACTGAGGGGGGATGGGAAAAAAACAATTCTCGGAGGACAGTTGGTAGTTACTTTTTCTGTAGCTATGATCTACCTCAATCTAAAATTCTTTGGTAGAGTTGTTACTTGAGGCAGTTTTTTTAGTTCATGCTATTGCAGATCAACTCATCAATATACTTGGTTTTAAATATTTGTCTTTAAAAAACCCAAACCAACAAGAAGAAACTCTCTCTCTACAGATGCTTCCTGTGCTTTCATCATTCATGAACTCAGCTGGTAGGAATATAAATGAAAAATGTGTAAAATCTTGTTGCTATAGATTATATCATATAATTCATGAATTATAAGGAATTTAATTATTTCTCATACATTAATTAATATAATTAATATTATTAATTATATTAATATTATTAATTATATTGGTGAATATAACTATAATTATAAATATATAAAATAAATTACATATAAATACATTAATTCTATAGATCATATCATATATAATAAATCTATTATTAGAGTTTAAATTTCTACAACTTGGTAAAGACAACAAAAAATGTAATTTTAGAGAAAAACTGACTGCCCCTTAGAGCTAAGAAACTTACGATTTTGCTTTGTGCCAATATGCACTCACAGCCCAGTGTAAATGTGAAGAATAAGGTGAAGTACAGCTGAAGGCCACGCATCTGCAGAGGACAGACAAACCTCAAAGGGTATGTTCAGAACAAAATTAAGCTGCACTGAGACTCAGGGAACAACGTCCGTGTGTGAGAAGATGTGTGGGGAGGGGTGGGGGGACCATGCCTGGAAGAACCACCAAGAAAGACTCAGGATGTTCCTGTCTGAAGTGCCATCCTAGGAGCCCACCAGAAGAGGATTTGCTGTCTGACTACCTCCAAAATCTCCAAATGCACTCTCCTCCTAAATGACAGTTAAACTAGTAACAAACAGGAGGATTATGTTAGTGCTTCTTTCCCCCATTAGAAAGTCGACCACAGTAAATCAGAGACCAGATCCAAAGATTGCTGATAACACAGAACCATATCTCTCTGCAAAACTCAGTTCAGAAGATGATCTGGCTTGCTACTGTGGAGAAGATTAATGCCAAAATTTCATTATTCTGCAATTTTCTAACCCCACAGAACAAGTATTTGCAGCAATTACTAGTCTGTACCCAGGAGCAAGATCAACCATCACTGAGAGATGCTAAAAGACACATAGGAAACAAAGCCATTTGCTCCTAAAACAAAAACATGATAGATTTTTATAAGAGAATGGTCTGAACCAGGAAATTGAAAAGCTGATTAGCTTGTAAAGCCTTTTTAGAGCCTCAAGTGCTGCTAAATTTATTGATCATCATGGAACACTGAGCCAGACAACTTCCATAACACAGACTCACTCCTACTGGTTTCTTCTATTTTGAATACTAGAATAAAATTTCTGCTATTTTGGAACACAGAAGAAACTTGACAATATTTCATCACTGAATGTATTTTATGTATCCGCTAAAGCTGGCTAACCATACTGCCCAATTTTAACATAACAGGTTTTTTAAGCAGTGTTTTTTGAGAAAACCTATTTGAATTTGGTGACACTACTTCAAATGTTATCAAGCAAACCAGTGAATGAAATCTGTATTATATTTACCACAGTGCAGAACAAGGCTTCACACCACCTAGAAACTAACTGATCTGCCAAACCACCCTTAGGTTAGATGTCTATTTTAAGATGTCTGGATTTCAGCAATCTAATTCAAGTTCAAAGCTTAATACTGGTATGTTAGCTCTTCTTTATTTTATTAACTGTTAAGTCTCTGTATCAGCTTTATGCTTAAAAAATAACTGAGGACAGTGAATGACGATTCACTTTAAACAGTTTTTGTACCATTTGACTCTTTCTTAAACTTCCAACACCTCTGTTTATACTACTTATATGCAGGAAGTTAGGGTTGTGCAGGAAAATTTAGAATTATCCCACAGGTGATGATAAGAAGCACTGTGCATTAGTTTGTGGTTGTTTACTTCTTTTGGAAGCAGTAAAGGAGTTTGATAGTTGGTCAGAGATCATGCACAGCAGCTAAACACGAAGAACCTTCACATACTCACAAGGCAACTTGTGACCACAAGAAATTACTTAAACTCCAGTGTGCAGCATGGCTCCTGCTTCAAAGGCTTTACTACATACGAAGGCAACTTCTATGTAATGTCCTTTCACAATCAGGGAAAGTGACCTGGAAAGAAGGTCATTACATGCCAAGCAGGGTACAGACTTCATCTGCTGCCTTCACATCTGTGTGTCTGCAAACAGACCGCGTCAATATCACAGGCTGCACACGCCTTGTTTCTTTTGAATTACATCAATAATCTGCTTTAAACATGCCATTCTTACTTCTCTTTAAAATGTGCTCTTCAATTACCTCCTCTTGGAAACTTCCTGTTTCTGCGAGCATAAATTCAACAAGCTGGTGCACACTGAAATTTCACTTTCATTCAGTCATACTCAAATATTAGAAGCAATGCCCCAGTTCAGTCACAGCTCTTCTCAGGTTCCCACTCTGCACAATACAGCATTACAGTAATGTATGAGCTGGTCACTGCAGAGGAGCCCTCCTGTTTTTGTAGGCAGCTCAGAAGTCCTCTTTTCAGTTCTACCTCCTGCACACTGTTAGCATTTAGCTACAGCTAACTGCTTCCATTTCTGTGTGTTGTTTCAAAAACGAGAATGTTCCACACCTATCTGTGTCTGCAAATTGCAGGCTGATAAGTAAACACCAGGGAAACAGGAGATTAGGTGCCAGCCACATGCCACACATCGCTGCTGAGCTCAGCTAGGATTTGTGTCGCTTGGTCTGCAGTGTTGCAAAGCCCTACTCAGCAGAGACGGGACAGAACCAGGGAATTGCAACCAGAACCAGGGAATTTACAAACGGAACCAATACTCTCTAAAGGGAGGGCAGGGTGGGGTTAAAAAGACAGAAATGATACGTAAAAGAGGACTTCATCTTAGGACTGAAGATCTCCAAGGTTATGAGCTCAATTACTTCTATTACAACAATCAAGCCAGGCCATACTCAAGCTGAGCAGTACTCTGAATTAGAAATTGCATTTTTCACCCTGAAGATGCACAAACAAAATATTATTCATGAAGCTGTATGAACTGATACACAAATGGTCACGGTGGCAGTAGTTACCAAAACGAATGGAAACCAATAAAGGAGAATAAACAAAACACACCAAGTCAAGGAATCTTAACAGAACTTCGCTGTGAAAAGATAATCTAGGGATAACGCAGCATAAACAGGGGTGGTGGTGTGTGGTTGGGATTTTATCTTCAATCATTTTAGAAAAAATCAACATTGTTTTATCATTTCCACTTAAAAAGAGGCAGACTGGGGCACTTGCTTCACTGATGACTTCTCTGCTGGGGATCAAAAATGTTAATTTCCTAGTTGGTCCAAGCACTTTTACTAAGCATGGCATAAAGCCAGGCACAGACCTGACTTCTTCCAGAACCAGAAGGGTTTCTGAGCCTTAAGGAGCTCCCAAGGAGTATCCAAGATGACCAAACTCTCCTGTCTCCCTGCCAGGCTCTTCCTTTGACAGATGAGACTCAAGCATTAGTGAGTGCACTCTCATCTCAGGATAACAAAGGGCAGAAATGGTGAGAATGCAGAGGCTGGAGAACTATTCACTGAAAAAGCAGTTCCTTTGCTTTCTGGAGACAGAGGTTTCTCCTCTACCCCCACTCCCCATCCTCCAAGAGCCACCATCTCCAGAGCAGCACAGCTTCGCCTAGATTTCAAACTGGGAGTGTCTGCCTGAAGTGCAAAGCTCTAGAATCAGAGTTGTGAGAAAAACTGGTCATGGAGCTTGTTTCTGCCACTCCAAGATCAGAAACAGAATTTTCTTCAAGTTCTACATACCCTACATACCTAATCACTCAAAAAAACCCCCAATCCCCCCAAACAAAAACAAATTAAAAAAAAAAAAACAAACACAAAATCCAAAAAAACCCCACAAGACCCACCCTCAAGCCCCTAAACCAAAAAAGCCCCACTCTATACAAAAAGCTGACAGTAACAAATAAGCTAGTCTAGAAAAGAGAATGTCTAATGTAGAAGTTCTTATTGTATGTTTTATATCAATCTAAGAAACCCTAACAAAAAAAGAGATCAAAAACTCAGCAGAGTCGGCTGCAATGTTCAAGAACTCTGGGCTATTTAGTGCACTTTCTCCAAAGAAAAGAGGAGTAAGTATACTACCAACAATAAGCAAACAGTGGCATACCTTAAGCAACACCCACCTACCTACTTTCTACTACTATAGAAAGAATACAATTTATTGAAAAGTCTTATTTTTTCCATATGTGTGCCGTATCAGATTTTTCAGCACTTTCAGGTTATGTATTTTTAATAATAATAAAGTATTGATACGTAAGCACAGTTCAACCAAGACGTTGCTCTTACAGATCACCACACCCTGACTATGCAATACCCTGTATATGCCACAGGCATATAGGCTCTGCATTTGTATGCCAAAAAATTACATGGCTCTTGGACTCAGGAACAGCGCGGGCTGTGAGCAAGGAAAAAATGCAAACCACACCCCAAAACAAAAACATAAATACAACAGCAATATAAGAACAACTTAGACACTACTTTAAAAAAGTTTGTTTCTCCTTCCCTCTCTTCTTCCAACTGCTTTTGTCAGGTGGTGCTACAGTGTCTAAAAAGGGTGTTTCCAGCATGTTAAAATAACTTGAGAAGCTAATTAACTACACACACTGTAGCGTTTCAAGTCTGCTGACAACTGAATCACGTTGGCAGCCCTGAAGCTGGCGGCCTGTGTTACTTCAGCCCACAAAACTCCCGGAAGACAGGGAGGGGGAGAAAGGAAAAACAATAAAAAAAAACGGACTGCAACATGAACACAAAGGAGCCTCAAGCAGAGGCAGCAGGAAAGCAGAGCAAACAAAAATAGCTAACTCACTTCGGATAGACGTGTGCCTTCTGTTTCCATCAGGAATGGCAGGACGCGGCTGTTTTTCGCCCCCGCGCTGGAGCAGCTGTGGCTGCGGCTTCCGGGAGCGCTGGCAAAGCCGAGCCCGTGTGCTGAGTGGCACAATCTCCACCCAGCAGCACGGCTTCCTCACTGCCAGCACAGCCCCACCGTGCCAGGGGAGGGGACCCAAACCGGCAGGTTCAGGCTCTGCTAGTACGGTGGAAGCGAGAAGCCACAATGAGCAAGCCTGCCTCCCACTCCCGGGTCACTTCGGGAGGTGGCTGGACCAAGGTCCTCCAGCAGGGACAGCTGTCACCAGGCTGACACGGCGAGCGTCACGCAGCAAAAGCAGGGCTGAAATGCCTGCTTAGGATGGTGCAACAGTCAGCTTTCAAAAAGCTGTGCTCGCCTTTCACCTTAAGAGTTAGTTGCACTGGTGCCACGGGAAGGAATCTACTCACTTCCCCTCAAAAGACCAATATTCCTACTAGAAGTCTACAAAATACCCTCCCTAAAGTTGAACTGATTAAACAGGCTCCCAGAGTACACAAATGTTACTAATTGAAAGTCATTGTCAAGGCCATCAAAACTTGACTAGGAATTTTTTTAAGCATAACAAATCCAAATAATTTATATTAATTTATATTAATTTATATTAATAAGTTACAAGGTTCTTCCTGAAATACCCATAGTGACGCGCTCTTGATTTTTTTTTTTTTTTTTTTTGGCTCCGTAATCAAATTCTCAATACTTGTCATATGGGACTGTGACTTCAGACACCTTTTACTCAAAAATGGTTTCCTTCGCAAGGTGCCTCTGCAAAGGCTACCAAATAAAAAACTGGTGACAGATAAATAAGGTATGCAACAGAAAGAAACCTAAACAGTAAATACACTGATAGTAGGAACCACTTTTGATGATAAACTAGATAAACTTCTCCACTGCAGAAACAGTGGGACTTCACTCAAAGGTATTTAGTAACTGCCCTTTTTTTATCTTGTATTCCTGTTCATTGCATAAGAAAGCAGACTGAATGCCCCTTTAAGACAGCAGTAATTTGGATGCCAGTCGAAAGCAACTAACCTTAAATTTCTTAAATCATTAAGGTCAAGAAGCTTTTCTCTGAAGATCTGAAATAAAAGTAATTCTTACTGAATTTCCACTGTTGCTGAGCTCTTCCAGCACGGTTTCAAAAAATACTCCATGATAGTAAAATGGACAAAGACTCTCACTTCTCTAAGCTACAGCCAGCCACAAGAAAATGATTACTCATTACGAGCAATGCAAAAAATCTGCTACATAAAAAGTAGCAAAACATCTGTTATCAATGGAATTACCACAAAAGAACACAAAGATCCAAGAAAGGTGGCTGGATTCCTCTGTGTTCAATTATCAGTGCCTTCTATTAATAGCTATGATTAAACACTGAGCTAGAAACTGGCTTTCCTGATGGCTGTGGAACTGGCAACACTATCATTAAAGGCTTTTAAAGAAAACACATCCTCTGCAGAGGAAGGAGGTTAGATCAGATTTTCCTCCTCACTGCTGTCTGATAATACTAATAAGCCATGACCTCCTGGTTTGGGCACCTTTGCAGTTAATGTATACAAGGAAGAGGCTGCTCATAGGCAACCACTAAATATTGATGATCACAACCTTACCTGAATCTACCTTTTCAGTTCATTTATCTGACAAGGCAGATAAATGCTTACTGAAAACACACATAGTCAAAGGAGTCAGAGCACCTGTTTCTGTTAAACACCTTTAAATTATTAATTTAGGTTTGAGTCATGCAGAAACCAGGCACATCAAGGTTGCCATGGGCAGTCAAATAACATCCCCATAAGAACAGACTGAGCAAAAGCAATGAGTACACCCTGGCTGCAATGCCAGGAACTCGAGAGTGACCAAACAAAGAGCACAGGAGTAAAAGGAAGGCACAAAGAACTGTTCAGATGGAAACTAAAACAAAGCCAGACAAACAAAGCCAAACAAAGTGCTGTCCCTTAGGAGTCATCCATGTGACAGGTACCATCACAGGACAATCAGACTACCCGTATCCATGACACAATGACAAACCTTCATCACACACAAGTTCCTGCACCTTAAAACTCAAAAATGCAGGTGACCCAAGAAGGAACAAGCCATCAGTTATTATTACTTACTAACTAAAAGGAAAAATTATTTGGGCCTAACATGGAGCAGCAAAACCCCCTCTGGCTGTTCAGTTCAGAGTAAGTAATTTCACTGGAGTGTACGAATGGGTTAAAAAACCAAACTTAACTATCCTACTTCCTCTGCCTCTTCTAAGGAGTTAAAATTTATCTGGGATAAAGTGCACCAATGACAAGTCCTATTGACCAACAGAATTATTAAAGAACCAAAAGAGGTTTTGCACACAGAAAACATTAAATCTATATCAGGGGAAAAGAAATAAAGGAAGAAACAGTAGTCCCAAATTGTTTAAGAGCAGGTGGAGTATTTCTGATTGCATTAAAAGATCTGATTGGCTTACAGCAAAAGAGAAAGAACTGCCTTGGCTCTTCAAGAAATACTCTTCTTCCTGTAAAATTCCTGTTTAAAAAAAAAAAAAAAAAAAAAAAAAAAGCTCTGCAAAATTTTTGTTTCCAATAAGTATTTTTAGAGACCAAAATAAGGGCAGAAAGGAATACAGCCAGCCAAATGGCTTGAAAAAGGTACAGGTGGCACAAACTACAAGAACAAGACATCTCTGAGTTTTGCTCTATTTTAAATAACACTACAGACTCACAGGATATTATTAAAATATATAATTAACAAGAGATTTAGCCTTAGTGAAGAAAAGCAGAAAAGGCTGAGTGGGAACTAAAACAGTTAAACTTAAAATAGCTATCCAAAACCAGTCAGTATTAGACAGCCATGAGGTGAGTATTTTCATACTATATAATTTTCACCTATAAATACTTCGGAATGTCACAGAAACTGGAGAAACACCAAGTACTGATGAAATACATAGCCTAAGTTGTCATAACCCAATATAAAGCAATTCCTGGCAATTGCATTGTATTATTTTCATGACACTACCTTCCAGTTCTCATGCTTAGCAGCACCACCAGAAATCGTGCCTTTCACACTTATGGTTGAGGACACATTATCATAAAAAGAACATGAACCGAAAAAAAACCCCCACCAAATACCAAAAGAAAACTTGTGTTAGTTAGAAAATTAGATACGTGCTTCCACGGGACTATGCAGCTACAGATTCTTAAGCAGAAGGATGATCTTTGAGACTGTCTCACCTATCATGGGAACTACATATGGACAACTACATCCAGCTTGACTAGCAGGAGAAAGGCCCTGGCAAAACACAAGGAATAGAAAGAAAAGCTGGGGATGTCCTTAAAGCATTAGACAAAAGCATTGGAAGAAAGTGAAAACAGCATTTATATCCTTGTCTCCTCCTTCCTTAGGTAGAAAGGAAAAAATAAGTACTTGGGTGGCACAGAGAAATCTTTAGGGGTATTATTTTACAACAGCTTTGATTAAGAAAATAAAAATCACATTCAAAAGCAGAAACACTTCCTGCTGATAGGGTCCTTCAAACAATGGGTTATCTCCAGATATAGAACTCTGGGGTGGACTAATGGACTCCTTGGAGTAATTTGTAGGAGCAGCCAGCCTCACATCCCTGGTGTGAACTGATGAGCTGCAAAGCCCCTGGCTCACATACAAAGGAATGAAGGTGTGTTGAAAAATGTGTTAAAAAGGGCTTTCAAAACCTGAAAGTGCAAGATAATGAAAGTGCAGAACAAGGTACCAGAGCTAAACAAAGACATCAATCTTGTCTCTGCTACGGACCAGCGGCCAAATAATTCACTCTGCTATCAAGACAGGCCTGATTTGAGCTCTCCCTGAACTGCAGCAGGATTGCACACCACAGACCCTTCCCCTGAGCAAGGAGGCCTGTTGAGGTTTGGGATCCCTCACCTGAGACAGAGATCTTTCCTCACTGGTGGCAGAGAGACCCTTTACTCACTATAGATCCTCGGTGAGTGATTGATTGACAGTGTGCTGAATTAATGCTATGAAACAGCACTAATCCATATACAGTTGCTGAATCATGTTATAAACATTATTTGGATAATTCCACTAGACATAAACTCTTGCCCAAATCTGAGACTAAGTCTGAACTCAGCCACACTTAAGGTCCATCAGGAATTTAGAAAGCAAGGGGGTATACTCTGAACCTCGAAACGCAGCGGGAAGGTCTCCATTACCCTTTTCATCTCTCTGTGTGAATCATTCCAACTCAATTCTAACTCAATTTTCCTTTTTATGTTTCTTCCACGCAGTAATTAATGAGGTGAACCTGGCAATCAAACTTACTGAATGTTGTCAAACCACCGTTAATCTTCATTAATTTCCATCAAACTGTCAAATTATTAATTTACCTCAATAAAGCATATTGCTGCTTCTCTTTCCAGTGAGCTGCATTTCAGTCATCTGTGACAAACAGCAGGTAACAATGACTACCAAGCACAGCCATCAGTTCATGCATAACCACCATGAGAAGATTTTCAACACCTTCTTTCAATACTCTGCAAGACCTGAGCACCCTGTTGCTCCTCAGAGTATCATCTGTGCTCCTTTGCAACTCAGCTTTATAATGCCTCTCCAGGGACAATGGACACTCCAGGCACTCCAGGGACAATGAGAGCAAAGACAGTTTCTCGGCGCTTCAATCTCACCCGGTTCCACCAAGTAAACAGAATCCAAAAATACAGCTAATGACGAATAAAGAACCACAGTGCCGTTAAAGTCAAATGAAGTTTGCCTCTGATATCAATGGGACCAGGATTCTTTAAAATAACTAGGACACCAACAAAGAACACGCGAAAGGGGAGAATGCTACCATATCTGTTTCCTCAGGAAGTCAACAGTGGCTTGTGCTCCCCCTTAATTTCAATTCACTATGATTTCTATCAAGTCATGAAGAGCATCCTAGTGCTGTTGAACAAATGGTTTTCTGTGAAGCCACACCATATCCTCTTCAATGTTAAAATAGTAAGAAAGACCACTTCCTTCAGTATGCATTACCTTAGCAGCAGCAGGTGCTCCCCTTGTCTGTGTTTTGGGGGGTTGGCTAACATTAGCACTTACTTGTTTTTTCTACAAAATAAAAGAAAGACATAGCAAACATCAGAAATATTTATGAAGGGAAAAAAAAATAAAAAAAGTGTTGCCCAGCCCAGAACAGGCTGAGTTCTCTTGCACTGTTTTATGGTTGGTATGTCTGTGCTATTTCCTGTGGCAGAGTGACTCCATTTTAAGTAACAGTTAAAGCAACAGAAACCATATATAATTTAATGAAAGATATCAAAAATAAGAAGGTCAAGCTATTGCTGTTCAGACATAATTTGAATTATAATCAAGAAGGTAACACCCTCAGGGAGGGAGGTAAAGGTACAAAGCTAAGGGCAAAATTATAGTTTTTCTAAGAAGTTCAAGATTTATAACACAATTACAGCATTCACACTTCCAGCTGCTCTCCACAAGCAGGCAAGGCTGCAGAAGGACAAGAGATTCCACCAGAAAACTCAGTAGCACCATTTTTTTAATTGACTGGGAACCAGATATTGGAACAGACTGGGGGATCTGGAGAGCTCTGTCATTAAGGCAGTTCCAGCTTCTGTTCTCTTTCTGATTTAGCTCAAAAATTTGGAGATCATCTGGAGTAAAAAAAGCTGCACATTGAACAGTCACCTTTAGTTAGAGCCTGCGCAGTGGGCCACCCACTGTGGCCACTTACCTAAGATTAACATCACCAAAATATCTCTCAAAGGTACAAACGGAAATGATTAGAGACATGTACATCAAGGATGTCACACTTAGTCCTGGCCATACTGGAAACAACGACATCCCAGTAAAACTTCACAGGATGTTTCAAAAACCAAGAGTAAAAGTGATTTTTCCTGCTACAGAGGAGTGTGGCTGCTCCTCCTTGTGTCCCAGCCCAGGGTCCTCCTGCACAACTGCTCAAGTCCAGTGTTGCCCAGTACAGAGCAGTACTGCCCAGTATAGACTCTGTAATCCACAGATCCTTCCACTTCTAATTAGGTTGTCCAATTAAAAATTTGAAGTGCTACTCTCCCAATTTCAGAGAGAAAAGAAATTTAAAAAAAATCACCAAAAAGAGAAGAGCACACCTCTGAAGAGCAATCAGTATTCTGTGTATGCCTTCAGTACCACAGATCTTGACTGACACCTCAGGCTCAGCCTTTGGTTCAGGGTCTCATGGCTCATGGTGTTCAGGATGTACTTTAGTTACTAAAGAATATGTCTCACACAACTGTGATGCTCTGAAAAATCTCAGAATCGCAAAATACCACAAATCCATACATAAAGTACTGTTTTACAGAAGGAGTTTTTATGACACCTATCAACACACTCCAAAAATTCAAGCACAAGGCTAACTTTCCTCACCCCCACCAAGCCTGAAATACAAAAAACCCACCCAAAACAAACAAACAACTAACAGAGTGAAATAAATCCTTGCCCTGAATATGAACTTATGTTAACCCATTAAAGAGAATAAAGAAAAAATTGTTAATGTAAATGTTTCTCTGTTTTGTGGTAAGCAGAAGAGAAATAAAGGTAGGAGAGAGAGAAGAAAAATAAGCAAATACATTCTCCTCTGGAGTAGAGAGAGACTACCTAGAGATAAGCTACATGGAAAGTTAAGCCACCAGAACAAATGAGTATTCTTTACTGAATGCTGTCCACCACACACTAAGTAAAGTTAGCTCCCAGGATCATCTTTCCAAAATAACTTCTTTGGTACTTAAAACATTTGTAAAAGCTCAAAGACTAGCCACATCATACTGTTCGGTTCATCCTTCTTTTACTCTTATTAATATAATGATATTATGTGTTTCCCAAAATGCTCTCTCCATGCAAGCCGGCTCTGACCCCCTTTATCAACAAATACATCAGGGCTGTTCCCATCTTCTCCCCTCCAAGAAGTGGAACAGTATTTTTCCTCTGTGAAAGTCTCAGACCCAAACAGCTGAAGAATTACCTTGCAGCTGTACTCACATCTCGCCTTCCAACCTGATAATAACAGAGCCAATGAATTATCAAAGCACAGCTTCTTTGTGAAATGAATTAAAAGAATCACAAGCCTGTAAAGAATTGTGTGAGAAGGAATAAAAGCTGTTGCACATAGGTACCTATAATCTACTCTTCATTATCAGCAGTGGCTTCAAAACAAAAAGACAAAACACTGTTTCAGAGTGGAATATTAATTTACAGGTTTAATAAAGGAGAAATGAAATATAAACCCTTTTGATATGCATATTTTCCAAGGGAAGACACGGTGCAGTTGGCTTAATAGAAAAAAAAAAGCTACCAAACCACAAAAGGAAAGTATGTGCAATTTCTGTTCTGAAAATGTCTCTGACAACCATCAGCAGCATTTCAGCCTCCTCCTATCAATCTTTCATTCAAGATTTGCTTGAGCAGAAATCACACTATATTTCTTCTTACAGCAGAAAGAGCCTCACATCACAACAGCTCTCACTGAGTACCAAAAATTTAACTGAAATAATGTTATTTTTCAACTACCTTTGGCATTTTAGCCAAAGAACCACCAAAACAGAAAGTGGAGATGACGAAGAAGCTTCTCATAACCCCTCCACTGAGGATAGACGAGGGCCACAATCCCCTGTGCCAAGTGCCCACAGTGCTGTGGGGTACAGGGGCAGAAAGAAAACACACAAACAGTGCAGTTTGAAGTAAACAATTTGGTACCAAAGTAGAAAAAAATCCTCACAAATGCTGCATTCAAAAACCCCTCACAAATGCATGCACAACTCAGACCAGCAGTGAGCACTCCAAGAGACTGTCACCAGTCATAATTAATACCTTTACTCAGCACTATGCCCCGGGACTCTTGAGTGACTCTAATGGTTTTCTGGATAAGGAATCCTAAATGACAAGCTTCAGGATTAAAAAGTATCACCGAAATCCTGGCTTCAGAGAAAAGAAACAATTCTAAAAGGGTAGGAATGCCTCAGCGCCAATTATCACTATAATCCTCTCAAAGTAAAGAATGTATTTCCTGCGAAGTAAAGTATAATGATCTGAGCAAGCAGGACGGATTTCGTCCACACTACTGTAAAGCGGGGCTTGGAATGTCAGGACACTTTAGAGTGGGTCCAGTTTCATACCATATCTGGTAAAATGTTACCTTACTCTAAGCTGGGGCTTCAAATTCCTGAAATACATGGCTGTGCCCGTCTTTTAATACATTTTCAAATCCTGACAGCAGCAATGCACAGGATGGGCTTTTACAGGGATAAAGAACCTCTCCTTGGTATTTCCCTCTATGACAGCAAAAAGAGAATAGGTCTTTCCAGATTACATGCAGTTATTAACTCGAGCCTGAATCCACTCAAAACAGAGCAGAGGGGTTTCAGAGCACAGTCACACACAACAGGAGCACTAGTTTTGCCTTGATCTTAGGAATACAATGTGGTTGAGCATTAAGACCACACTGTGTCCCAAGGGCAGCCCTCTGACAGGGCAACACTGAACATGGTGGGCAAGAACAGGACACCAGGACCATGCAATCCATTACAAAACAAGACCTGCCTTACTGAGTTTGGATGAGCTTCACTTTTAATATTTCCCTGTCTCTAGAAGTAGTCTCTAGCAGCTGATATAAAAAAATCTCAAAACCAGTGATGTAGAAATAGGTCAGGTCCATGTCGATATTTCTTCCAAATACTCTTGCACACTCAGATAATGTGTGGGCTGGGGACTTCTAAATTTCAGTGTATTTTTTAAACCATCCTGGGTTTCTCTTCAGTGATTTTGTCCCATCTCCCCTTGAAAGAATTTATCTTTTAGTATCCAAAAGCTTCTAGAGTACCAGTGCCCTGATGGTCTCAGAAAGTGGTATGAAACTGACAGAGGGGCATATGTAAGGTGAAGACTGTGGGGTAAGGAAAAACCACACCAGCTGTCCCTCACATGTTAACAAACTGCTGAAAGCCCCGAAAGATCAGGAGAACAGGAGAAGAAAGGAAATTCATTATTTCATACACTTTGCAATGGTATGCTGCAGACATATTGACTCAGCTCCATTATGTAACAATGCAATGAGAAAACGGGGCAGATATGGGGAAAACTGCAGCACATCACTCACCTTCACTGGATGGCAGCTGCATCCCAGCTGCAAAACCATGCAACAGCTTCAAGTGCATGAGCAACCACCAATTCCCACAATGATCATTTTGTTTCTGTTAACATCTACCATACACACATTCATAAGAAATGAAAACACTTCATTAAAGCTGATGTAGATTTTCAACAAGTGTCTGATTCTGCTTAGGATGTGAATTCAACAAATGTAAAGGTTCTAACAACCAAGACATAGAGATACAAGATACATCCCTGTGACTTGTGCCTTTGTCCTCGAGCAGTGCCCAATACAACATAAAACACAGTCAATTACCATGATGAAGAACTGCCTCTATCTTTTTCCAATTATATTTTTTAATGCACCTGCAGTTTCCAACTCTGTCCCTCCGGCACGTCTTTTGCCTATTTCAACAAGGCACCATGCACAGATACACACTCAGTTGCTCACCAGTAGACTGACAATGTGTACCTCAACCCAAAGCTGACCCTTCCCATTCAAATAGCCCCCTCACCCCACCTCTGTCTATGGTGAAAGCTTGAGCAGCACTCCTGAAATGATACAAACAAGTATGGCAGTACCTTTCCTTTGCTAACAAGGGCTATGATATCAGAGTTCTGTCCCTTCCAAAATCTGTGCACAATACTTCTCTCCTTTGCTAGATGCAATAGCACTGAATGTTAGCACGACCAAAGGTCTTCCAAGTAACTACCACAGGCTATTGTGAAGGATCAGTGTTAAAGTAAAATGGGTATTACAGCCTTAAGGCCACATCTTTGTTTTCGTTTTGAGAAACTGGACAGACTAAATTTAGCCCTTCAGAAGAGCTGGAACCTCAGTACTGCAATAAGCTGATGCTTCTGGCAACAGAGCAGAAGAGGCGGGAGTGGACCCTTGGGAAGAGTTACAGAGAGGGACTGTGTGCATCCTTTAGTTTACAAGTTATAAAGACACCAAGTAGAACGGCATCTGCTGCAAACAGCTGCTCAACACACCTGCCATCTGTCTCTTCCAGCCAGTCTGCAAGCTACAGCTGTGTGACTTCAGCATCAGCCAGGCCAGTGTAGTGGAACACAAGGGATTGTAGAAAAGTTTTGAAGTGACAGACACAGGCTGCAGCTGTGCTACTCATACGTGCAGGAAGGGCAGTCAGTTCCAGGATTCAGAGGGGAAGGCTCACTGCTTTCACTGAGTTCATGGCTTCCCCACTGAGCTTTTATCTGTGTGGACTAGCCTGCTACTTTGGTGACCTGGTTCTTTTCTGTCGTGATGAGCAGCAGGATGACCTGAAGTAAGGCAACTCCAGCTCTGTGCTTCAGCACCTTTCTCACATTTCATCTATGTCACTCAGACAACATGTCTATTCTCCTTTATGCAATGCTTCAAGATCCAAGGATGAAAATACTCCCAAAAATTAAGCAGAACATCACTGGAAACCTAAAAAGTAAATACTTCCTGAAGAAACAATCCTATGAACCAGTGTTTGTTGGCACATAATACACAAATTACATGTACTCCCTGCAATGAGTGTATGTAATTCCAAACCTAGGGAGTTATTAAATAGATCATCTTCACACAGCTAATTCCTAAATCTTTTAAAGCATTGTTTTATATTACTGGATTGTGAGGCTAAAATTGGAAAAATCCTATGGAACCATTTAATCTCCTCAGCAGCTCTATACAAGGGTGTATCTTACCAAGTAGGTTTCTATCTGCAGTAAGCCAGTTGGTTTTTCTCAATCTACTTTTAAATTTCTGAGGCAGTAAAGCTTAAGAAGCCTATTCTATACCCTAACACCATTCATTTTGCGCTTTCCTTGATGTTGTGGGTGATTAGCATCTCCTAGCGTCACTCTTCCTACCACAGTTTTTTAAATCTTTACTCTCCTTCTCTCACTCCTTCAGGACTATCTACCCAAAAATCTGAGAAACAGAGGTTTTTATTGTTATTTTTACTTAAACAATAACCATATGGGATTTTACTATTTTCCTTTCAATATGGATATAAAGTCTTCAAAGAACTTTCCTATTTCCTTGTCCATTTCATAATGCATTATCAAACTTTTTCTAGTAGGCAGGTGAACAACCTTGATAATCTAGACAAAACTGCCCAAAACTATCTGCAGATGGATTATAAACTTCGGTTTAAAAAAATAAAAGACCATGGAAATAACTTCTGACTTTTAAACAAAAATGTAACATAGCAGACTCTTGGGAGCTGTGTACAACTGTTATGAGTTACTACCTCAACTGCTTAACAAATCAAAGTGTTTTGGAGGTAAGTGTGAACCACAGCGGGGCTGACACTGTTCACTGAGTTTGTGGAAAAGGGCTTTGCTCTGCTTTCACTTTTAAGCACTGCAAAGTCAGTGGAAGGATTGAAACATAGAAAGAATTCAAAAGAGGAAACACGCATGCAGTATTCCAAGGACTCAAAAAGCAAAAGTATCCAGACAATAAATTTAGTAAGAGTCTTCTGCTGCTAGAAACAGATCTTCTCAGTGAGAGGTCAGAAACGGCAACTCCACAACCCCAACCTACAGGCCTCAACTCCTGCACTTCCCACAAAAAAGTCAGCACTTCTCTGTTAAGAGTAAAAATGCACAGTCCAAGAATCTGTCATTAAATCAAGAATGTATAAATGAACAATGGGATTTATGAAAAAACTAAAGTATCTATAGAAAGGAAAGGAGGCATGTGTTCCCAGGCTAGAGCAGCCTTCCTTGCTTTTCTGGACAGGAAAGAAAGGCAATTGCCTAAACCATCTACTTCAGAGGGTTGCAATAAAAGCATTCACTAGCCTTATTTGCAATGCAGTTAAACAAGCTTAGGCAAAGCTATTTCCCACATAGGTTCTCCTAAGGATAAAGCATCAGGCATATCTATTTCTGGCTTCCCTGGACCAACGACTAACATTTAAAGACAAGTAGACAACTTGCAACAGTCATTTCTACAAACTCTTTTTTTTAATCTGCTATTATACCTTCCTTGGAATAGCAGAGGCTTCTGGGGAAATGATGATCAGTGCACTCGTGACCTGGCTTGGACAATACCTTCTCTTTGCATCACCAGCCTGACTCACTGTAGCACATAAGGACCTACCACCCAGTGGCTAACAGGGAGCTTCTGGGAGAGAGATGACCAGTCCAAATACTCTCCAAACACTGCCTGCAACCCTTGATGCCCTCTGATGGTGTGCAATAGCTGCTGTGCTCCAACCGTAAAGTTGCTTGTGTAAACTCAATGTAAATACCAGTTTCTGAGGAGGCAGAAAACTGCCTTTTTTAAAATATAGCACAGGCCACATATTTCCAAGTGTGTCAGCATATGTGCAACATCTATGCATGAATTTGAATTTCTGGCTGTGGAAGAAAAGCCAGAGTGCAAACAAGGTCGAAAAGTGTCACAGTGCCCTCACTTCACCTTTACCTCCGGGAAACGGAAAAACCATGTGTGTCCCACAGTGTCCTGGCACTGCACAGTACATACTCTACTGAGATAGCTTCCACAGATACTAACAGGAAATATTTGGGAAAATATGAACACAGCAAAGAAATATGCCCAGTAGGACTCTCAGCAGCACAAGACAAAACTATACATTCCTGGAAAGAACAGTGAGTGGCTGTAGTCACCAGTTAATTTTCTGAAAACTCCCATTTTGCTATCAAAAGGCAAAAATCTGTACAGGATGAAATTTGTTCCTGACTTTTTTTCCTAATATGTTCAAACACTTGAATTTACCTCTGCGACTTCTGCTTTTTTCTCTCCTGGCTTGGAAGAATCTCCACTTGCCTTCTTGTCACCATGCTGTAAGCAGAGAAAATAGATGTGTAGTTAGTAAGGCCTTAAATTATACCTTCTACATAGCAAAATTCCCAAACATCTTACTGCAAGTATGACTTCTATCATATACGACATGACAGAAGGAAGCATGAAATTTTTCTTCTCGCTAATGGACTGCATTTCTAAATGACCTGCTGGGTAACTTCATCTGGAATCAGCCAGAAGCTCAGGACTTCCAGGACAGTATGTGTAACATGACTGCTCTTGTGAAAAGGTCTGGAAGATATTCAGCTTATCACTCATTCCTCACCAGCACAGCACTCTTCAACAGCTTTGGAAATGCTGTCAGTCTCACAGGTTTCAGCAGAAACTGAACAGCTCCCAGGGAGACCAACAGGACAAGTACAATCCTCTCCAACACTTGAATTTCCCTCAGACACACTAAAATGCTCATTATTCCCGGTCCTCCTTACCTGAAAGAAAGCTGTTATCATGATTTCCATAATTCTGGTGCTGATATAGAAAAAAATAAATGCTCTAATAGTTCAGGCATGGGTACACATTAGGAAATAGAGTTCTTCCAGGATTCCCAAACCTCCTGAAAATTTCATGTACTCCAAGACCCTAAACCTCTTCCTTTCACCTAACCTGATGTGCAACCCCATTTGCTTCCCATGTGCAGCAATGTACAAAGAGACAGTTTGCTCATCACACATTGCAACTCTCTGCACTTCTGAAATGTGGTGAATATGGTCCCTCAAAAAAACCTTTTCCAAAAATAATAAATTAAAAGTAAAAAGAAATTAATATAAAAGGCAACATAATATAGCTACTATTTAGTCTCTTGGCTACTGTAATTTCCCACAGCCAGTGAGACATCTGGAAGCAAGGATTCCCGTCAGGTTTGTTTTGTTAAGTAAAGACAGGAGATGATTCAAGACTCATTTATTCCCTTCTGTTTTGAGGACTGAGCAGCAGGGGGTAAAGTTTGCTAATCCACTAAGTAATGAGTTCCTACAGATTTTTCTTTACATGGCTATAGGGAGAAAGTAATGATCCATGTATCACTGCACTATCTTCAACAGAAATCTGTTCTAGTACATCAGCAGACAGGCTGGGAAAACACTACAGCTGAATGAAAATAAAACTAGAAAATAAAAGCGTAGCATGTCTCTAATTGTTTCCATTATACTGGAACACAATAAAAATTTCAATAATTGTTTTGAACAACCTCTAATAATTCCAGTTTTTAAAATAAGTTGGGCATGACTATGGTACTTGACAAATTTTAAAATTCAAAATGCTGTTCTCATATTTCAATTGTGCCTCTTCAGAGGAAAAACAAGTCCTGTAGTTGGTCTTTTCACGTATGAGATGAATTAATTCAGTGCCCTGTAACAGCACTTTAAGTATAGATACAATTAACCCATTTATCTGTGCTTTTACTGCTACAATAAAAGCATACCACATACATACTGGTAAAAGCAACACCAGTGAGTGCTGTTGCTGACAGAACAGTAATTCCAGAGACAGCAGTGCTTTAAGGTTCAGGAGCTTCAGCTCCTGCCCAGCAAAGGTGTGTTGATGGGGCTCTCGTCTTATATGAATATCCTCAGCATCACAATTCTTTAGAAGCCAAATGCTACTCTGAATCCAGCTAATCCAGCTATTGAAACATGCATGTCTTTCCGCACACCACGTGTATTTCCTTGCTTTCATTCACTTTCTTCTTCAAATTCAGACATGGTTTTAAAAGCATCAACACCAAGCAAAGTGCAGGTTTTTTTTTTTTTTTGTTTTGTTTTTGTTTTTTTTTTTTTGTGTTTTTTTTTTTTTTTTTTAATTTTAGTTAACCAAGTCAGAGAATATAGGAACTAAATACGTAATTCCTACTGAACGTGCCAGACCTTCACCTGGGCTAAATCTGGTCTCACCCTTCCTCCCTAAGTCCATCTCCTCATCTTCATACCAAAGAAACCTGAAGCAGACATGAGCATGGCATCCAAAAGGGCACCCAGCCCCAGGACTATGAAGAAGAAGATATGGAAGGGGGCTAGCAGAATATCAACTCCATGTCCCTGAGGGACCCCAGGGCAGCTTCACTGTCCAGGGAGGACATGGAATGGACCAGGACAAGGACCACTACTTTGCCACACCTAAACTCAAGTCAGAGAGAGATTAAAAGCATACATCTTCCCTCCAGAATGCTGTTACAGACTGTACCTATAATAAAAAGACTTTGACTTAGAGGCCCAATACTTCTTATTCCTACTGGGAGAACAAAGCATATACAGTCTGACCAAAGTAAATTTTTACCCAGTAAGTTGGAGTCATGCACTGTGTACACACCAAGTGCTGATACTCTCCAGCCTCAGATAATTAAACAGCCTGTGAAAGTACTGCCTTGCAGGAAAGTCTGCCATCCTGAGGAAGAAACCTTGGAAGCGCAGCGTCTTCCACTTGCTGAGGAGACCATGCTGGTTCCCTGAACAGTTGATGTATAAGTTATGAGGAGGGACCCTGTTTCAAAAATGCCCTTCAACGGCTCCTTCCTTATCTATATTTCCAAGCTTTGAATCCTCCAGTAAGAAAATAAATATAGAAATAAAATAAAGACAGTAAATCAATCTGCTTGGCAAGAGGCTAAGCTTAGGTTTCCTGGCACAGTGTGCATGCACTGCTCCTTTGTATTCACAAGCTGATGACATGAGCTGTCCTCTTCTTTTGGCACTCTTTCCTTCTCTTATTCATCTCTCCTTACAATGCCAAAGGTACACATCCATAACCAAGCCAGTGGTCAGAGCATCTCCAGCCCTCTCACACAAGCTGTGGACGTACAGCTGAAGTTACACGTCTAGTTTAACTCAAGAGCTGAGAACAATTCCTTGTAGCTTTTAAGTTGGCCCAAAATATTTTCCAACATTCCTAACTAAAAAAAACACAAACCCACAAACCTACCTATAATCACACATTCACTAAAATATAGATGCATCATGAAGAAGAAAGTTTATCCTGAGACCTTCATCCTGTTCTAAAGTGCACAAAAATGTCACCATGCTATTATTTTGAGACACACCTTTAACTTCTGACTCAAAGAGCATTTATAAACTAGAAAGTAAATGACCTGGGTGAAAAGCACAGAGCAGATTACTAACGACTGACTACACACCTGTGTGTGCAAAAAATCCAACCTCTTACTAAAGCCTTTCCTTCAAGAAATTCCTCCTAAACCTTGGGAGCCCCGTCAGCATTAACGAGCCTTCTGTTCAGTGACACTGAGCAGCATCTCAGAGGACACACAGTAACTGAGCGAGAAGTGAAGCCTCCCTGCAAGACTCTCAGGCGAAGTCAAGCAATTCTGCACTTCAGGTATTAAATGAGATGGGAATCTGACCTGCCTTTTCAGCTGAAACGGTGAAGAGGATAAAGATCTTTGATACTGCTCAGAAAACTGACATATAAAGAGCTGCCAGGAGAGCCACAATCAAGTCATGTAAGAAATGAAATGGCGAAACCTGGATTCTTCTTACATCCAACCCATTCTGCTTTAAATCCACCAGCCAGCAAAAACCTTTTTAGAGCCACACTCCTTTGTGTCTGGAGACAAGAGAGATCTCCAGACCTGTGTGTTCACACAGGTGCCCTTCTGGTGCCAAAAATCATAAAGATGGGTTTCCAAAAGAGCAGGTGTAGGAACAGTTTCCTTCTGACCACAGGTAGTCCTATCTTAGCATCTTTTCTTACCCTGGATGCAGTGACCAGAACTATCAAGGCTTTTAACACCCATTTCATCATTCAATGCAGCAATTCCCAAACTTACCTCCTTGTGACTTTGTGTCACCTCCACCACAGTACCACCGACTTGATCTGACAACAAACAACACCTGAAAACACGGCTAAACACTGATCCAAGCTACACGGTGCAACTTAAAAGTACACTTATAAACTCAGCAGGTTTCACCTACCTGATTATATATTTAGGAAATACATTTAAGTGATGTTTTCTCTTGCACAATGTATACTTTCTGTAAAACTTTAACAGAATGCAAATTTTTTTTCTCCATTACTCCATACAGAGACGGACCATTTCCTCCTATGACTAATAAACCATAAAGGTTTTTTAAAAAGCCTTTTTAATACAATCACAGGCTCGTCACAGCAACGAGTAGCGACGCAAGTCCATCCAAATCGCATGGAGCCATCAAAAGAGATGTGGTTTACTCAGGGAAGATGTGGAAAGCCCTGGCTCTTCCAGGCAGCCCTGCCACCCACCTACAGGGAAGAGCATCCCTCTGGAAATAAGGCACTGTGTGGAGTTTTTTTCCCCAAGAGCAGGTACACATAAATCCTGGCGCACTTTCGTCACCTCTCGATTTCGCGTTATGACGAAAAACTTCCAAGAGCACCAAAACACTTGGTTTCCAAGTGTGGTTGTCAGGCTGCGGAGGGGATGAAGAGGGGCATCGCGCTCCCACTTGACCTGAAGCACCGCTACAGGAGCCTTTAAAAAAGACACTGGCTCACCTGCAGCCACCACAACCCTTTCCTTGCCCCTTCTCCAGCCTGAATGCCGGAGAGCGGAGGGAGCACCCCGGCCGCCGGAGCCCTCCGCATCCTGCGCCCGCCAACGGGGCCCTCCCTGGGGTGCTCCGGGCTCTTCCCCGGGTCCCCCCCCCCCACTCACCATGGCGTACCACCACCGGGCGAAAGCCATGGCGCTGCCGCTGCTGCTCCCCGCCGCCCTGCCTGGCACTGCCCGGCCCGGCCCGGCCCGGGACGCGCCCCAGGGCGGCGCCCGGCGCGGAGCCGCTCCCACCGCCAGGGCCGCGGGGCGCCCGGGGCAGCGCCGAGCGGCTCCCCCGCCCTCCTCGCACACACGTCCCCAGATCCCGCACGTCCCTCCCAGTCCCGCCTTACCGCCGCGGGCAGTGGCTGCTGCCCCGTCCCGCTCTCCGACATTGCCGGCGGGGCTCCTGCCACCGATCCCGGGGAAGAGAAGCAGGGGTGGCCAGTCACTCCCGGCTCCACGGGCGGCTGGAAAGGCGCTCGGTCCCTCCCCTTCCTGCGGGCGCCGAGCCGGGACGGGGGAATGGCGGGGGGGTGGGGGAGCTGCAGGGCCGGGATGTGGCGGGGAGGGAACGTCGAGTGCCTGGCTGGACGACGCTCAGCTGAATAAAGGGTGGCTTTCCTTAAAGTGAGGGGGGACAAAAAGCGCACAGACACTTTCCTTCTCCTCGCGAAAGTCATTCCCCTTGGGAAAGTGTTTGGGTGTGGACAGCCGACCCTAGGGTGGCTCCAGACTCCAGGGCAGCTCCCACCGGTGTGTCCTGCCCCTCACGACCTTCTTCACCTGGATGGAGCCGGGCAATGGGTGCTTAGGGCTGCTGCAACACCCTGCTCCTCCTCCAGCCCTGATCCAGCCTTGGCATCCGGGCTATTCCATCAGCGTCCCCCCCAGCCTTGGCATCCCAGCTCCTTTACAAGCCTTCCTCCAGTCTTGCCATCCTGGCTCCTCCATCAGCCCGAAACCATGGCCTGAACTCATTCCTGCCACACTAACACCCCTTGTTTTGAAGACATTCTCATTTCCTGTGGATTAGCGTGGTGTTTAACACACCTAGAGAATTTGCCATAGCTGAGGCTATGAAATGGAAAGTACGAGAGCCTGTGTGCTGTAATGGGCACAGTTCACTGACTTTGTCTCACCGAAGAAGCAAAAAAAGAAGGTGTCTGGAGTGTTCTGTGCCAAGGAATCTCAGATTCAGTCTGGATACCTGCTGGATGAGTTGTACTACTCTGAAAAGTTTAGAGCAGCAGCAGTTCCTGAACATATACACCTGTGAGGAGGCCCTGTCAGCAGAAGGAAAGAAAAGTGCCCCAGTTTTTAGGGAATGGTCATCTCCCGATCCCTGATTCCTTGGGGAAGTGGCAGTAGGACTAAGCCTCTTGAACCCAGTTAATGCCTATGCCCTCTCCTATCAGAATGAAGGAGACAAGTGGGTGAGGGTGAATCCCTCAAGGCCTTGGGGAATGGCTTTGATATGCGTAGAGGGAGGATGGTTCAGACATGCCATCTGCATAAAGCTGCCCCTGCCCATCCTTTCTGATTAGATCCATGCAGATTTGTGACTGGTCTCTGTAGTATTTCAGCCTGTGACACATATTAGTTTTTCATTCCACTCGACAGGTCATCTGCCTAAAATTTTAAGTACCTTTTCCAGAGCTCTTCATTGCATCTGGCCATGAAAAAGCAGTTGCATGGGACCACTTACAAGGATGTGCATCTAGGCAAGGAGCTCCAGAGGAGGTGGAGGTGAGGGCCATGTTTAATGCACGGCTTTTACACAGGGCACCTGTGTGTGCTCTTTTACCTGGGGTCACTCTGGCAGGTCTAACAAACTGTACTGCATTCCTCGGCTGCAGGCAGCAGACCCTCCCTCCCTGCTGGCACAGTACTCGAGGGAGCCTTCAGCAAGCTTCACCTCTTTCACTGCTTTGTGCCTGATGACAAACAACTGGAAATGACAGTAATTGAAATGGTGGAGCTCCACAGTAGCAAGGCTACTGAATGAAACCCTTGGTGATATCCGTCTGTACCATGCTGGGCATTCAGGGTTCTGCTGACCGAGAAGCACATCACCAGACCTAAGACCTCCTAGTGGGTTAGGTTAATGTCTGTAGGAATGAGGAGAGCTGCCCAGACACTTGCTCCAGTTCCTGCAGACGCTGCAATGTTTTGGGAACTGACTGGACTCCATCCAGCTTTGCAAGGAAATCTTGCTTTAGGGTAAAGGGGTTGGCAGTGTTGTTTCTATTAGAAGGCTCCTCTGGTTTGCCACTGCTTTAAGAAACCATTGTTTATGGGCAATTTCTGCATAAATTTTCTCTTAACAAGTTGAGATTACTTTTATATGTAAAGGATTTAGACAGCACCCATTTACCTGAGGATGGAATAGCCAGTCCTTATTCCTCTGACAGAAGTGATGTCAGCTGATGGGTACCTGAGTCAGCCTTTGAAGTACTGCAGGCCTAACCACCACTCAAACACTTGGCTCATTTGGGTCAAGATTTGGCTATTTAATTGGAGCACTTGCTAGTAATTATCCAACTATCAGTTTGTTCAATGAATACTGACTGGAGAAAGAGCAGGACACACAGGTTCTTTACTCTGGCGATGTGTAATGTGAACAAGTATTCAAAAAAGAGCTTGTGTGCCTTTAATAGTCATTTATAGATATACATCATGGATATGCTTCCATGTAATTCAAAGTATTAGGAGTCTAAAATTGGAATCCAGAATCACAGATCCATTTTCCTCACCGAACCTCATCTTCAAAGGGCACCAGTTGACGTCAAATGCTTCTGAATAAAACGGTGTTCAAAATTCTGGCAGGATCAGAGGGAATTTTTGCCAAGCATACATATTTTATTAATATGACTTGCATAATGGTATGACTGCAAGTTTATGAGTCATTCCCCAAATTTACAAAATAAAGTTCAAAATCTCTTGTGTAACTGGATTTTTATCTAGGGTAGTTTAAAAGAGGTCTGAATTAAGTATGAAAACTTTCCTCCTCTTCTTACGGTTTACCAAGAAACTCATCCCAAGTTTTTGTTCTGTTGTCTTCCTCCCAAAACCAAAACCATCAGGATTTACTTTCTTTTTAATTATTATTTGGTGCATTCAGTCCTACCCTGTTTTAACACACTCGCTGTAACAAAGACAGACAAGTACATTTCATTTCTTCTTCTATTGCTTTTGTTCACAAAGTGTTCAGTAAATGGAAATTGGAATTTTCAGTTCTGGAAATCCTATCTGTTGATAAGAATAGTTTGATAACAGCCTTGCTCTAAAAATCAGTAATTCCAATCCTTACTATTGAAAAGAAAGGTTTCTTTCCATATCTATGAATACCTATATTTTTGAACATGTTATAAGCATGTTCTCTTTTATCATATAAATGCTATGTTCTCTGCTCATTAAGTGTGGTCTGAAGATTTCCTGCTGGACTCCATCTCACTGCTGAATGAGGATTTCTTTTTCACAGACAGAAGTCATAAGCTTTGACATCAAGCAAGAGAAAATGAGAGTATTCCTTGAGAACTGATATTTTGTCATTCCCATGTGCTTGGTCCTCCTTTCTCTCCCCAGGCAGTTTCTGCTGGGGAAGCCAAATGAAGCCATCAGTTTTGGGAGTCAGCAGAGATTTGAGGCAGCTAAGGTGAGACCACACTATCCCCAGAATAGTTCTCACTGTTGATTTGGAAACCACTTAGGAATGTGTACTTCCCATCATTAACTTGCTTCATTTAGCAAACTACAGGCATTTCTTTGGACTGGATGCAGACACAGATGAGGTTATGACTCCAAAGGGAGTCCAAAAGGAAGAACAGCACAATGAGCTGGGCGTTGCCCTAGTGAATGTCAAACATTGCAGCTATGCAGGAGTGGCTCACCTGCAGCTCATGTCTGTGTGGTGGTTTTATCTAAAAAGAACTTGCCCAAGATGAGGTGTATTCTCTCAAGTTTAAAACTAAATTATGAAATCACAGCAAAATGTATGAACTAGGCCTCACTGATTTTTATTAACCTGATTTGTAGAGATTATACATACGAAAATTTCAATAGCATTTGTCCTGCATTGTCAAACGGTAGGATTAGATTAGTCTGTAAATCGAAACTGCAGATTGGTAAAGTCTGTTTGATAGGTGAGACAAAAAAACTGTTTGCTTCTAGAAGTAAACTTTAAAGTCTTTATACACCAGAGTTGCAAAATGAATAGAAATCCATGTTAATAAAATAAAACACATACTTTTAAGTACAGTTTACACTGTCAGCATGTAGACTTTTGGAAAACGCTTCAATCTGTGTCAGCCCTATACAATGCAAATCATAAAACGCATGCAGGGGATTAAAACTTATGTATACTTCTTGGACATTTTCTCACCTAATCTCCACTTGCTACAGAAACGATTATTTGCCTGAGACTGATAGCATCCCCTCCAGTGCCACACTGCACTTATCCCTAATCATCCAGTTGCACAACGCTTCCCTCAGAGGAGTTTTCTCTTTCAGGTGAAATTAATCCTTAGATTCTTGATATTAATAGAGGCTCCACAGAGGAAGGGTTGGAAAAAAAAAGATGTGGTTTTCTGAAATGCACCGAGGAAAACAAGCTAAAAACTGTTTGCTTAGGCTTGCAAAGATGCAGTAAATCATTTACAAGGGTGACTTTTGATCCCAGGGTAACAAAAGAAGAGGTTTTACATAACACCACATCTCTGCTTGGGTTTTGGTTTATATTTCTCTTTTTCTCCTACCCATACAGAGATACACAAACAATCAGGGCTGAAAAAGCCCAAGCCAGATTGAAGGTTAATAGCTAATGCAAAAGCAAAAATAAACCCAACACTCAACTACTTTATATATAGTGTGTCTGTACCTTCATACGTACACGTCTGTATGTCTGTCTTGCAGTATGTGATATGAGTATATGATGTAGTGCACTATAGCACTAGCTAATATTCCCATAATTCACAGGGAAAATAAAAGACAATTTAGACTGATGATAATAACTCAAAACAGCACTGAAAGATATAATTAATTTACACTGAAGGTATAACAAAATGTTATGCTTAAGAAAGGATTTTGATAGAAACCTTGGAGATCCTTTAGGGTGAGGAACATGAGAAAAAAAATCTCTTCCACCTACCTCTACTCAGCCTTTTGAAGGGGTGTCAGCCTGTAGTTGGATATCACCTGTAGCTATCAGTGACAGAAGCACCACAAAATGGCCATGACCCCTTAATACAAAAAAAGATGGTCACTTTTTCATCTGTTCCTTGTGGCCTTTCAGGACTCTGCTGCTGGGAGAGTACTGGACACTATTGTTTTTTATAAAAAACAAAATGCTCTTTTGCCAACACTGCTAAAGATCTCTTTTGCTTCCTGCTAATGTTTGAAAATTCTTCCCTGATCCTATGTTGTAGGGAGAGGGATGCTGCTCACGGCAGTGGTGGAATCACCATCCCTGAAGGGA